TCCCCACAAAGCAGCCCTCATGGTATAACTATTGGGATATTATATCAAACAACCACGAGGAACACAATCTTATTCTGTCAATTTTCAAACTGCCACCTGCCTTGAACTTGGTACTGAATCTCCCCAAGATTACAAATTCAGTTTCATGACTTCAAAGTGTTACAAAAGAAAAAACAAGTACAGTCACCAAAGGAATTTATCTCTTTATATTCATGGTATATAAATACCATTCTCTATGAAGACATCTTAGGATGAGAAGCTCCATTTTGTTTCCTATTTGTACGATTAATTCCTCATTCTCAGGTCATGACTTGATTTTCCAAAATGAAAATCAATTCCAGAGCCAAAAGTAATCTTGGTCCCCATCAGTCCTATCTCTTATCAACATGTTTTAGAAGGTCTCTAGGAATGGTAAGTTATTTGTGAGTCTCTTTCAACAGTTTGGTAAATACTTCCTTAGATTAACCTCACTCTCAAATGCTGACTCTCTACTTCCTCTAGTTTAGCCCTGTGCGGTTAAGAGAGGAAAACGTGGTCTACCACTCCCCTTTATCGCCTACATATTGCTCAGGATAATAGCCTTTTTTATTATTTTTTTTGAGACGGAGTCTCGCTCTGTCGCCCAGGCTGGAGTGAAGTGGAGCAATCTTCGCTCACTGCAACCTCCGCCTCCTGGGTTCAAGCGAATTCTCCTGCCTCAACCTCTTGAGTAGCTGGGACTACAGGCTTGCACCACCACGGCTGACTAATTTTTTGTATTTTTAGTAGAGACGGGGTTTCACCATGTTAGCCAGGATGGTCTCGATCTCCTGACCTTGTGATCTGCCCACCTTGGCCTCCCAAAGTGCTGGGATTACAGGCATGAGCCACCGAACCCAGCTGGCTGAGGTTTGCCTTTTATTAATTCTATCCCTTAGCCTCAAGGTGCTCATTAATCAAGATAAAAACAAAGCACTTAGCGCAGTGCCTGATACATAGCAGGTACCCAACAATGTTAGTTCCCTTTCTCTGCCTTCTTTCTCGCAACACTATACAGGTTCCTCAGCCTTTCTGGGCCTTTTTTACTGGTTAAAGATGGCACTGAACTAAACAAACTAATGTTCTTTTGTAGCTCTAACATTCTATGACTAATTCACATACTCTCGTTTGTTCTTCTATGCACTGCCATCATTTGGATCTAAAATGAGTGGCAGAGGAATAATACTAGTCTCTAGGTTGACTTGGCGTACCTAAAACCACTTGCAGGAGTTTTGAAACTCAAACAATACCAGTAACTTTAATGTGATGCATCCATGTCATTCCTCCTTATTCCTAAATTACTCTCTTGAACTATGTAGATAACAGTGTTAAGTAAATGTCCTTATATACTGCTTAACATATTTGCCCATCTTTTCTAGTTTCCCTACAGAAAATGTCTTCATAGTATCCTAGGGGTTCTTGGCCCATCCTCCAACCTTAAAGGTAAGACTACTTCAATCAAGGGGAATTCTTTACTCAGTAGTGGTGCTTTAATGGGGTCTTCCTGAAATGAATTGTGAATCTCTAAGAAAATTATCATATAAATTTCACTAGCCCAACCATAATTTTTCCTCCATCCCATATCCCTCTCTCTTCTTTATAAGCAATTATACCCAAGCTGGGCACGGTGGCTCACACCTGTAATTCCAGCACTTTGGGAGGCTGAGGCAGGTGGATCACAAGGTCAGGAGTGCAAGACCAGCCTGGCCAGCATGGTGAAACCCTGTCTCTACTAAAAATACAAAAAATCAGCCAGGCATGGTGGCACACGCCTGTAATCCCAGCTACTCGAGAGGCTGAGGCAGGAGAATCGCTTGAACCCGGGAGGTGGAGGTTGCAGTGAGCTGAGATTGCACCAGCTTGGGCTGCAGCCTGGGCAAGAAGGCTGGAAATCGCTCCAGCCTGGGCAAGAAGAGCAAGTCCATCTCAAAAATAAATCAATAAAAATAAGCAATTATACCCCAAGTCTCTTTCCGCAGCCCAGCTACCAGACTCTTCTAGTTCTCCCTTCTTACCCTTATTTCCACTTCTTATATTGCTTCATTTTCTGAGACTTTTGGTCCCCTAACAGAAATTATAAATATTAACACTAGTGTAAGACCAAACTAAAAAATTCCAGACTTTAAAAAAGGGACCAGGCTACTAAGCTTTCTCTAGGTCTTTCAATTCAGCCTGTTTTCTCCAGGGCCAAATGCATTCAAAATTGCATTAGCCTTGGTGAGGAGGGTCGTCTACAAGCTGATCCTTACAAGGTGTAAGGTGTCCCTTACAAGGGTGTCCCTCATTAGGCACTGCTGTAGTTCTGAGACTCAGGAGGGAGAAGGATCCCCTCCTACAGAGAGTCCATCAGATAGGCCCCTTAGGTAGAGAAAAGACATCCTCCAAGACTCAGGCTTTGTTCTTTACTTAGCTCTGACTGCTATATCATGGACTTCTTAAATGTTTCTTCATGCTGCCTCCCTCAGGGTTGGTTTGGCCTGGATAAAATGCCCTTCATTCCTTTAGAGCTATCAATACTATCTGTAGTTTACAACCATGCCAGAGCAAGATATCAAAAAGTCCATCCATTTACAGGTCCTAGGGAACCTGGGTCTAAGTTAATTTACTTCACGGCTATACCTTCTTATTCCAGAGAAGTATGCTGTAGCTGAAGGATGCAAATTAAGAATGCTCCACTAACCAACTACCCACTTAGAGGGTATGAAAGACAAACTCGGAATCAGCCTCTTTCTCTCAGCCTTGGAGTACTACTTTTTGAGATAAGAGATATGAGAGAAATCCAGTGGTCAAAGTGTTTTGGCACCCCAGTGATTAATCATCAGGACATTAAAGCAACTCTTATCTGCTTTCTCTTAGATACCAGAGAGCCCTCTTCTCACCAAGCTTTACTTCCCACAGGCACCATCTGCAAGTGAGCTTAGAAATGTCATCAGCAAAAGCAACAATCTCAGGATATGGAAGAAGAGGATAAAAAGGTGAAGGCTGAAAGAGGGGAAGCAGGAAGACAGAAAGATGACTCCCTGCCTTTCCTGGCCAGGGTACAAAGGGTACAAAAGATTCGTACCTACATAACACGAATGAAAAGCTCCTTTCATAGCTCCTAGAAATAAGAAAGTATGGTTAGTTTGCTTTCTCCTTCACTTTCCGCTGCAGTAGGTTAAGGATCCAGACAGACATTTGTCTTCTGAATTGACTCTTATTACCTTTCAAAACTATGAAATAGCAGTAACTCTAAATACCTGGTAGGGTTAAGCAATCAATACCGATGGTAGGCCTAAAATATTCCAGTTGAATGGTGAGTGGGAAGAAAGAGAAATAGGAAAAGAAGTGGGTGAATAGGAGATGGAGAGACCGTTGCGTACAGTAAGGAGTACCACCAGTAATTCCTTCAGGTGTCGTACTCCCCCAAAGTCTTTCAACTCTGGCTTGGAGTAATCTCCTACTTGAGAGAATTCCTAAAGTTAGGAACACTGGAGGTGTTCCTACAGATGAGAACTGTCACACCTGGACAGTAAAATTAACCAAAGTGTCCAGGAATGCTCACCTTGCCTCTCAGGACAATCAGAAGACTCAGCAGTTCCACCTCTCCCTTGGAATGGTTGAGTGCTTCCTCCCTTGAGGAATTCCCTATTCCCATTACACTTAGCACTTCTGGATGATTAGGATATGAAAAGTCACTCAATAGTTAAAAAACAGTCAAGCTATGAGGCAATCTTTAATAACAACGGAAATCCCAAGACCAGCACCAAGAGCATTAACTGTTCACTTCTTTAAGGCATTAACCATACAGTTAAGGACGCCTATCTAGGAAAGGACAGTGCCTAAGAAATTGAGGTACTGAACAGCATGGTTTCTGGTTAGAAATGGCCTTGGGTATGACAGAAAAATCTAGGTTAGTAAGGTCCTCAACCTTTAGGCCTAGAATTGAAAAGACACTGCTTCAATGTTCACTGCTATGAAGTGAAAACAGTATTTTCTAGTAGGTTGAAGTTTACACCCCAATCATGAACTTGCAACCAGGAACACATAATTCCAGAAATTGGAACAATCTTGAGCTCTCCATTCTCCTTCTAAGATGTGACTTAGCCCACAGGCAAGGGAACACCACTTAAACTTTTGAGGATTCATAAACAGGTTAGCAACTCTCATTATCACCAGTTTTTGAATTCAACTTCCTTCTAACTTCCCTTGCTCTGGTGTATCCTTTAACCTTCTTGTATGACTTGTTCACCCCATTTACAACTTCAGATACCTATCGCCCCTCTTTCTTTCTTCTAGTGGATTTTATCTGCCCTCTGCCTATTTGTCATAACTAGCAGGATTGCAGCACATACCACAGGGGCAAATTTATCCTGTGTTCTAAGTCATGAAAGAGAAGGCGAAGCAATTCTGTCTTCAGGTGGAGATGGGAAAGATTTTGGAAACAATAGGGACTTTAACTTTTAAACAACTTTTTGATTCGTTTTCTGGATTGGGAACGCATTGGGAAATCTCAACAGAGGTAGGTACACTAATCCCCATGCTGACTCTGCATGTAACAACATGGGAACTGGGGCGGGGTGGGTGGTGAAGAGTCTGGTTTAAGACTATCCTCTGAGTCTAAACAGCCTCTTACCAACTTCCCTTGATGACAGCTGAGCTTAAACCCACTTACCTCTCCTGTCAGGAGGAGTCAGGGTATATGAAGCTCAACTCTTTTGATGGTTTGGTACCATTATTTGCATAACTTTTCTACTTTTTTTTAAAAAAATCACATTTTGTGGTTTTTCCCAACTCATTTTTTATTCTCTAGTTCCTAGTTTAGCGTTTTCAAGCCCCTCTTCAAATCCTGATAACTTTCTGCTGGGAGGGGGAGTTTGAGTCTATAACGATTCTGAGACAGAGAACCCCTAAGATAAAGTGGAGGAAAAATGTCCTTTATACATGATTAGATATGCTCAGGGGGTACAGATTAAGAAGTAAATGCAATGGAGCAAAAGTGGTATAGTAACAGGAAATATTTAATTTTCCAATCTCCACTTTCCATTTTTATAAACTGAAAGAAAAAAATGTAATATATTACAAAATACCTGTACATAGACAAGATACACCCAATGGGGGTCAAAAACAAGAGAGAGAAAGGAATACAGTGTCAGGAACCTAAATCAGGGAGAATGAGGTGGCAACTGACACTTTTCTGATGCAGCATTCTCTCTCAAAACCTGCTGGTAACCATTTTAGCACGGTAACTATATATGCATATTATATATACACACACACATACAAGTGGTTGGGTGATGTCTATGGCATAAGCTAATAGAAGTTCTACTTGCAAATTTGTGCTAACTGCCCTGCTTTAAACGTATAGATTTGATGTTGCTTTCAAATATTTATCGTTCCTATGGACAGCTGAAGAAAAAACTAAGGAAACTGGGTCAAATATATTTGTTTTCAAAACCACAAAAATGATCACGGTCAAACCAGTTTTGCCTCCCACTCATGAACAGAATCAGATTTCTCATCTGTTCAAAATAATGTATTTAATAGACTTAATATCTCTCATTGTACAATAATTAAAACAAAACAAAACAAAAACCACTTTTGAATGGAATTACTTGGGTTTGTAATTTTCAAATAGTCAAGATGAAATTCTGCCAAACCTTTACTTCCATCATGTTTATAGATAACATAACTGAAAAATTAACAAATACCTTTTCTTCCTCCATACAGATTCCAGGATATTTAAATAAATTTTTTTTTCCTCTGCTTTTAGAAATAGTCAAAACTACCAAACTTTGTTTTCATTTTAAAAGACTCCCAAAATGGGGGTGGGGGTGAGATGGGATCATACATACACATACACTCACACATACACTCATCCCCTTCCCTAGTAGGGATGAGGGAATGGAGGCTTAAGTATATTATTTGGGATATTTGGCATAATTAAAAATAAGAGGTGGGAGAGGGGAGGGAAAAACATTATTGATGACTGCTGATAACCAAAATACAATGAAAATATATAGATAATTTTATTCATATTTGATGGGAAACCAACTTTTTTTCATTGAACAGATACTTCTGAAAGTATCCCAGGCTCAAGTTCTTTAATAAAAAACAGGGAGTGGGGCCCAATAACTCAAATTCAAATATTCTAAAATACAAAGGCCCATGTCTGAGGACTAAGAAGTCAACAGACAGAAGGTTCAGATGAACTTTAATGCAATTTACCAATAGCATGTCAGTAAGCCTAGTAAATCTAACTGGACACACTGGTATAAAAAAGCCATCAATGCCAAAATGGCTAGAAGGTTCTCTTTCTAAATCAGTGTTTGGCCCTGCAGGCAAGGCCAGATCAAAAACCAGAGAATAATAAAGAAATACACACACCGATATCTACCTATTTCTCATTAACAGGGGAAAACAGTCTTCAAGTATCTGAAGAGGGTTCTTCTTTCATTTCTTTAAAGTTTTTTTTTCTTTTTCTTTTTCGTTTTTTTTTTAAAGTAATGCACCTTTCTCTTATAGATTTTATTTTTTAAAATAAGAACTTGGCATTGAAACATGAAACTTGAGTTTTGAAAACTACCCTCGAAGATGATGAAGCATGTTTGCTTTTTCTTTGTAAAAGGGGGCTAACCTATGTTTCCTAAAGGTCTAAGTCTGTGCAGATAAATTATATGACATGTATCTGTTTTTAAAACACTCTATATGCTGGTACTCACATAGAAATAGAAGCCAGAATGAGAAGCCTCCCAAATTATCCCACCCTGACAGCCTTTCCCTTTTTCATTTCCTGTTTATGATAAGGCAAAGTTCTTGCCTGGAAGCACAGTTCAACCCCTTTTACCAAAACCAAATCCAAATCTCTTTGGAGGAAAATCCCTATAAGAACTGGCAGGGTACACATGCTGGGATGTGGACATGTCAATACTGTTCTTCCTCGCAGTATGCTGTTTTAAAATTATTTTTTAAAAAAAGGTTAGGTATTGATGTATCTTCAGAAAAATACCCACCCTAAACTAGGTTACATTTCCATGTATCTTCAGATTTGTTTTTCTCTTTGACAATATCACAATGCTCTGTTTGAAAGGTTTTTTTTTTTTTTTTGACATAAAAATATATGTGTAAACAATATGCTAAATGCTGTTATTAGCCCTCTAGGTATGGAGGCATCATCTCTAACCACAGCTCAGCAGCAATGTCCAAGCTGTCCACACTTACAAATCAACTTCCCCATCAGAACATGGTTAAAAAAACAAAACATTTTAGAATTGAAGAGTTACAGAGAACAATGTAGGAGTCTGAATTTCCTTTCCTTTATTTCAAAAAAAGTAAAGAATTATCCCAGGTTCTTGGGCATCTCAACGATTTTTTCCAAACAAATGCCTCAAAGAGAGAGAAATAGCAAGAGCGAGAGTGAGCAAGCAAGCGAGAGAGCGAGTGTGAAAGAGAGAGAGAGAGAGCATATGTGGGCAAAAAAGGAGAGAGGTTGGGTAAAGTCTACCTACTTGCCCAAGAATGCCACTTTCTACAACCTGCTTTATGTGCAGGGAGAAGGGCATATCTTTTGTCAAAGAGGAGTAAACTTTAAGGATGAGTAATTTATTTGGAAAAAAAGTATGTTCAAGATGCTCAATGGGGAAAAAGTGTTCACTTAAAAGCAAAATGTGAGATGGTGGAGAGGAAAGAAACATTTATTTAAATCATCCAGGCCACTCTGTTTCCCTTATAGCAAAAGCCTAAGCGCAGCTCAAATTTTGTGAACACTATTCTCTTTAAAGGAAAAAAACCCAAAACACCTAAATTAAAATTCAAAAGAAAGAAACCACACACAACCCCCCACCCCAAAACTTTAAAAATCAAAGAGCCTCTCCTGAGCCATCTCAAAACTGAAACTGTTCTTTCTCTCTTCTGATCAGTAAGTGCAGGCAATGAACTAATAAAACATTTACTTTTCAATGTAATGATCCTCTCCATATTCTCTACTTGTATCTACTAAGGTAGAGTTGAAGTAAATGTTCTGGCTATAGCCCATCCAGGGGGAAATGGTGCCAACATCATTATTTCATAAGTCGCCTGCTAGTAGCAAGTGAGCAAGGAATACAACGGACAGCTTTGCAGTAGCCAAATGCAGATGATTACCTCGCTCTGGCAAATGATTTCATTAAAGATTCAGAGAACTGGATGGAAGGATGGATAGGGAAGGAATCTTTCAGGACACTGAAGTCTCTGGGTTAGTAAGGAACTCCTCTCCCTCTTCCCCCTCTTGGTGGGACTCTCGTAGGCCCCCGATAGAGTTTTCCATAAGCAGAAGACTGAGTTGGGCCCCCCCAGTGAAGGCCTGCTCCTGAGCTGCTGGCCCCAGTGGTTCCTGGCCCCAGCTCCCCATAGTTTTGCAATTTGGTCTCTGCATGTACCACAGAATTGCTGCTTCCCTCAGCCTTCAGGAATGGTTGCCCGACCACCGGGTGTAACGCTAAGGGGACCCTGGCAAAACGGAGGTCCTGGTCCCCTGGAAACTGCACTGACCCTGTGCCCTGGTAACTGCTGGACTCCCCAAGGTGGCTCACAGAGCCTGAGAAGGTCCTGTTCTTCACCAGGGTCTGGACCAAGGATTCTGTCAAGGCTGGACCAGAGTTTCGTTCATCAGTGTCAATGGAACTGAACCCTGTTTCAGGCCCATCAGTGTTTCCGTAAGTCCTGTTTGGATGGGGTCGGGTGGAGTATTCCATTGGTCTCAAGGCCTGGTGCTCATGTGGCAGGTGGCCAGGAGGCTCTGCTTCAGGCTGGGATAAAAGTTGCAGCAAGGCGGCTGTCACGGCTGGGTTCAACTCCTGGGGGGCGCTGGAAAGATCGCCTTCAACCAGAGGGGGTGGAGGTGGCGGCGGTGGAGGTCCGGGGGGCTCAGGGGGCCTCTTCTCTGGTGGAAGAATGTGAGGAGGACATGCTGTGGAAGGGTTACTTCTTTTAAACACCATCTTAAAAAGCACATGTGATTATAAACACAAACACACACACTGCGCAACATAAACAAATATCAATATAAGTAACCAGATATATAAAGAATAAAATCTTGGGATCAGGGATTGCAATTATATGTAAATCAAGTGATTAAAACAGTTGCATTCTGGATCTAACAGCTAGTGTAAAAATATCATATGTTTCAAATGATTATTCTGATTTTTATCTGAGATTTCCTCCATTTCCTTCCTTTAAAGAACTAATATGTAGGCTGCTGGCAGACTCCCTGCCCCTTTTTGCTGTTAGATGGAAACATCAAAACAAAGCAGAAGGAAGGAAGATAAGAGGGAACAATACACATGCTGTGGTCACATTTCTAGGACATAATCTTGCTGTACAACAGAGACCCTGTGTGGACTTGGCTAACACATTTTACAGAATGTTTGATGACATAGGTTAACCTGAAATAAAACTTAAAGAATATACAGGAGAGATAAAGTAAAAAGTTTTTCATTACTGTCATGTATAAAAATACACTTGCTTCTCCAAACTTTAGTCACCTCTCCCCAAAATCATAGTCTGAAAGGATTTTAACTACCATATTATCATTCAGCTTCCTATGTTACAGTAATTTTAAAGACTAAAGTAATTTCTATCATAATTTTCTATTTTGTTTTCCCACCTACTGCATTTTTTTTCCATGCTATGTAAAAAAAATCACTATAGCAGTGTCATGCAGAATGAACTGTTGATAAACATGTTTATCTTGGAGACAGTGACAAGAACTGAGAATTTAGAAATGTATTAAATTCATACTATAATCTGTCTTTACAAAGATCTTTTGTCTTTCTTGAACTACTTCCCCAGACTTTCTTTTTTCCACTGCTGCATAAATGTGCTTAGGCATGATAAACATTGTCTGATAATGAACTCCTGCCAAGGCAGGAGAGGAGAGATGTAACATGGTATGAGTTTGAGGACACAGAAAACCACTGAGACAGAAGAATGGTCGAAACAATGCCTTTAGAAAATTGAGAGTCATCCTGCTGAAGAAAAGATTTAATGTTTTGGGATAGCTTCCAAATGACCGATTTTTCTTTTCCCTATGGAAGCATATTTTAAAATATATATATATATATAGTCATTCTTCCATTATCTAAGCTGTGATGTAGTCATTACTCAAAGCAAGCCAAAAAGAGTTTTTAGTTATAATTAGATATTTCTGTAGCATATTTACCTTAATTATATTCTGCAAAGACAATCAGTAAATAAGTTTGTATTCCCTTAGTATGCAGATGAAAGCACTCTGAAAACACTACATAATTGTAAGGTCGTACAGTACAAAAGATGGTCAGGTGCTACATGTAACATCCAAGTAAGGTGACCAACAGTCCCAGTTTGTCTGGGACTGAGGGGGTTTTCCAGGTTGTCAGTGTTCAGCTTTAAAACTGGGACAGTTCAGGAATGAACTGGTGGCCCTATGTATAGTACCCACACAAGTTACTTGTTGACTGATTGGCTGGTTGACAGGGTGGCAGGGGAAAATGAATTTAAAGACAAAAAATTAGCCATGGAAAATTTTGAACATGGAGAATAGACATGCTGAAAAAGGAGGGCTAACTGTACTACAAGTAATGACAGATTTCAGAGCCTTTTGTTTTCGACACTCTCTATATAAGGACATCACTGTACCGTTATTTTTAAAAGTATTTCTGGACTACACATAAAATGGAATATGAGGTTTTTTAATACTGAGGTCAAATAACTTAAAAATGTATAACTGAAAAAGTGAGATAATCTAAACTTACATTCTTCCAGCTACGCCATTTTTTTGTATTCAAACTTTGCCTTTTATGTAAATAGCCTAAATATGTTTCAACAGAACTAACTCTTGAGGTCAAATTCTTTCATATGTATAAAATAAAAATTCGATACCAAGGTGGCAAAGGCTGGGCGTGGTGGCTCATGCCTGTAATCCCAGCACTTTGCGAGAACAAGGAAGGCAGATCACTTGAGGTCAGGAGTTAGAGACGAGCCTGGCCAATAAGGTGAAACCCTGTCTCTACTAAAAATACAAAAAAATTAGCCAGGCCTGGTGTCACATGCCTGTAATCCCAGCTACTTGGGAGGCTGAGGCAGGAGAATTGCTTGAACCTGGGAGGTAGGGTTTTCAGTGAGCTGAGATCACGCCACTACACTCCAGCCTGGGTGACAGAGCGAGACTCCATCTCAAAAAAAAAAAAAAACAAACAAAAAAAACTTATTAAAGTAAGCCTAATAAAACTTCTTAAAGGAATTAAAAATAAAATGTGAATTATAAATCATATTGTTATCTTTAAAATATCAATGTTGTCAATCCTTAAAAGTACAGACTTTTGGCCGGGCCGTGGTAGTTCACACCTGTAAATCTAGCACTTTAGCAGGCCAAGGCAGGTGGATCACCTGAGGTCGGCAGTTTAAGACCAGCCTGGTCAACACAGCGAAACCCCGTCTCTACTAAAAATACAAAAAAATTAGCTGGGCGTGGTGGTGGGTGCCTGTAATTCCAGCTACTTGGGAGGCTGAGGCAGGAGAATTGCTTGAATGTGGGAGGCAGAGGTTGCAGTGCACCATGATTGCGCCATTGCACTCCAGCCTGGGCGACAGAGAGAAACTCTGTCTCAAAACAGACAAACAGAAAAAAGTACAGACTTTTAGGATTGACAACAATAAGGATGTATTATTGAAATGTAAAAATAAATTTAAAACTTCAGGCCAGGGGTAGTGGCTCAAGCCTATAATCCCAGCACTATGGGAGCCCGAGGCAGGCAGATCACCTGAGGTTGGGAGTTCAAGACCAGCCTAGTTAACATGGTAAAACCTCATTTCCACTAAATGTACAAAATCAACTCAGTGTGGAGGTGCATGCCTGTAATCCCAGCTACTCGGGAGGCTGAGGCAGGAGAATTGTTTGAACCCAGGAGGCGGAGATTGCAGTGAGCCAAGATCATGCCATTTTACTTCAGCCTGGGCAACAGAGTAAGACTCTGCCTCCAAACACAAAAACAAAAACAAAAACTTCATTTTACTCATTTGATTTCAACTAATCACCCTTCCCAATAAGTACAGAATAGCAAAACAGCAGCCAAATTAATAGGCTGTCACTTTCTCTGGCTTATACAGTCTGCCCTCTGGTGGAAGTGCTAATTAACAGTGAAATGGCCAAATAGAGACAGCAGGGGAGAAACAAGACCAAGTGAGCCACTGTAGAGGCACCAACTGAATAATCCAGGGGTGACTGCAATAATTAGTTATGACATTTCTACACTTTCCTCTGAAAAGTAAATACAACAATTTCTGGCCATAGGCCAGGCCTTAAAATATATACTTTCTGCACCACACCTCATATGAAATGTGAATATAGGACCCTAAAGTTGAAGATTAGTATACCTCCCTCTTCAGCCCTCGAGCCTCTTCTTATTCCCCAATTCATGGGGTCTTCATGGGCAGTGAGAATTTCCAAGGAATTAAAAACACTTTCACATAAGTAAAGATTTTGCAAATACACTGTGAATCAGAATTTAAAAATTTAAAATGCTTTTTCCTCTAATAAATTGCACACTATGGTCATGTGAGATTAAAGTATAACTTATCCCCATTTTCCTTTTTTTCTTTATAATATACTCACTTCCTGATCTGGGGTCCATTCAATTGCTTCTATTAGAAACAGATTTAAAGGAACTGTTCTTATATACTATTATTTTAGGGAAAAGAAATGTATAGTGTTAATTATCTACTTAGAAATATTCCCAAATTATTCTTCAGGAAATTAACAATGATATTTTATTAGGGTTTTCTTGTTTGTATCTTCCAGGAAAGACTGGCATTCAGCATCCACTCCACTGGAGGTAAAGAAGTATAGTCTGATAATGGTTTGTTTGGAAGTCAGATTTCCAAGTGCTAGGACTAGCTGGCCACCACACATAGTTCAAGATGTGTGGTTCAAGATGCATCACTAGCTATGGCTGTGGTTTCGTTGGTTAGAACACAGGGGCTTTACTTACCTATCTCCTAGGAAGTGGAAAAACAATCAATATAGGAAAGGTGCTTTGGGAAGCTCTGAGACTTAAATAAAACAAGCCAAGCAAGAAATACATTACTTGGTGCTATGTTTTCCTGTAGACTAGGTTACAGAATAACTGAAACCAAGGCCATTGATGTGGGGGAAAAAAATGTTAAGATATTTTTAAGAGGGTATAAACAGCACCTGAGCTCAATGAGATTCATGACCGGTCTGTTTACCTGCTGCCTCCTCCTGTGGCATTGTGGGAGTTCTTCGGGGCCCCTGTGGCCCACTGTTCTTGTCACTGTTGTTTTCCTCCAGACTGCCTGCTGGTTCTTGGGTTTTCATCAACTGACTCAAGAGAACTGCCAAAATATTCTGCATGTCAGCTGGTGTGCTTGAAGCTTCAGGGGTCGTCTGTTCTGCTGAAGGCAGGATCACTGGGGCAGAGGGTGCTTCCTTCAAAGACTCCTCTGGGGCCATGTTCTCTGAGTCCTGCTGCTGGGAAGTAGCTTCCGTCAGGGCACTGATGGATTGATTCAGGGCTTCTAGCTGCTGCTGCATCTCTGGGTTGGAGTGGATGTTAAGCAGCTGTGCCATTTGAGGGATGCTCAGGTCGGTTTGGCTCTGCAGCAGGTTTAATAACACTGCCAATTCACTTTGATTCAGTTGTTGTGTGATGTCACCAAGGCCTGTGGAAAGACAGTGAAGCCAATATAAGAGGATGAGACAGGCCAAGGACCCTTTGCCTTCTTCAACTGGCAACAACAACTTACAATATCCAAAAAATGAAGTTTTCATTTTAAATGTCTCATTTTTCATGCCTTAAAATGTCATGACACAGTTTGTTATTCTTTATGCTTTCCCTTAAAAAATACACGCACTAATAACTAAAACATCTCTGGACTGTGCATAAAAGTGACTCCATTTTACCTTTATTTTTCAAGGTCTGTGATTTTTCAACCCTTACTGTACATCAGAATTACCAGAAGAGATTTTAAAATCTCTCCTATTCAGATGCCTCAGGACCCATCCTTAGATGGGCATAATTGTTTTTAAAGCTTCCTGGATGATTCCAATGTATAGCCAGTATTGAGAACCACTGCTGTAAGTGAAGAGGGAAGGGAAAGTGAACCAGAAAAGAGTATCTTTTGTTTCGAAGAACTGGTCATAAAACAGGAGAACTACTTTGTTGTAATAGTTCAATATGACATAGCTTCAGATACATTTAGATCAAAATAAGTCTATAGAACAACATTCAGCTATTGTAATTTAACATGATTAGATTCTATGAAGGTCTTATCAAATCTAATATAAACAAGGCTCTAAATTATGTGTGTTAGAAAGTCATGGGTGAACTAACCTTAAATTAAATTTGGCTTACCTAATTCACTGATTTATGCCACACATTTAATTGAGATACAGTGTTCCACACATATTTCAGGAAAAGAAAATGATCCATTGTAGACTTTCTGGACCAAATGTACAAAACTTGGTTAATCTCCTCCTCCCCATAATGAGGACATTAACCTCTTTCCTAATGGTTCACTGGACAAAAACTAAAACACAGACACACACACAGAATCCTTACACTTGACCTTCAAAACCTGCCAAATACGCTTAGTAAAAGCACAAAGTCCCCACTCTGGCACTGACCTATTGCATCCCCAGCCCCAGGCTCCACCTTGCCAGGAGCAGGCTGAGGTGGTGCTGGGCTGCTGTTCTTTACAGGCTCAGCATTTGTCCCTGAGGTAGTTTCTTTTCGAGAAGTTTTGGATGGAGGTGGCTCTTCCACTACCACACCGCTCTGTCGCTGACGTCGCCGTTTCTTACTCCACAACTCGTGGCAATCTTGCCAGTGGGGGAGACTGGAAAAAGACAAAGCAAAGGGGAAATATGTATGGGAATGTGGCAGTGAATGAATGGAGGAGCCAAGGATTAAAGTGGGAAGGCAAAGACTGAGGGAAATGTAAAGAATAAGGAAAACAAAAGTAGGTAACAGCAGTGTAAAAGAAGTCATGGCAGACGGTAGTCTGAGGAAATAAAAGTACAAAAGTCCAAGAAAGTTATACAGTGAGAAAGGAGGATCTTGCTAATACTAGGTACAGACTAGCTATATAAATTCCCATATAAATATTGTCTTTCCTTGGCATAACAAGAATAAAGGAGAACTGTATTGATCAAGTTTCAGTAGGGAATAAAGAGGAGGACAGAAATGGCTGGCTTGTTAATGTATACAGAAGGTCGAGGAAAGGTGGTGACTTAAACCATGGAACCATGTATCATGATCAAAACATCTCTGTGCAAAATCAACTTATGTGTAATTTGGTTTGTGAGGACCACAGACTAGTTCTTTCCCCTTTCTGCCCACAGAATTTCCATGACTGGATATCAACTTGCTCATCTGTGGAGTTCAGCACTACGTATAACTTAGTATATTTTTCCAGACTTTCCCATACAACCAGACCAAGTAGATAAAATCTTACTACAAAAATCTCTCTATAATACAAGTTCCCAAATTTTAGTAAAACCCTTATATATATCAAGTCATATTCAATGTATCAATATTCCAATGTAATAAATGAATTTGGCTGGGCACGGTGGCTCACGCCTGTAATCCCAGCACTTTGGGAGATAGAGGCAGGCGGATCATGAGGTCAGGAGTTCGAGACTAGCCTGGCAACATGGTAAAATCCTGTCTCTACTAAAAATATAAAAATCAGCTAGGTGTGGTGGTGTGTGCCTGTTAATTCCAGCTACTAGGGTGACTGAGGCAGGAGGACTGCTTGAACCCGGGAGGTGGAGGCAGCAGTGAGCCGAGACTACATCACTGTACTCCAGCCTGGGCAACAGAACAAGAGTGTGCCTCAAAAAAATACATGAATTTGGACATTTCTTTGGAGCAATCAGATTTAGTTACTACCTACTCATGAACTAACATCCTATCCATTTTTAAGACATGCAGTCTTTCTTAAGGTAAGAACACGACCCCCAAAATTTGACATTAAAGCTATAATACTGTCAGTGACAAATTCAAAGCTAAGAGACTCTTTATTTCCTTTTCTTTTGAGACAAAGTCTTGCTCTGTTGCCCAGGCTAGAGTGCAGTGGTGCAATCTCGGTTCACTGCAACCTCCTCCTCCCAGGTTCAAGTGATTCTCCTGCCTCAGTCTCCCTGAGTAGCTGGGACTACAAGTACACGCCACTACACCCGGCTAATTTTTGTATTTTTTAGTAGAGACGAGGTTTCACTATGTTGGCCAAACTGGTCTTGAACTCATGACCTCAGGTGATTTGCCTGCCTCAGCCTCCCAAAGTGCTAGGATTACAGGCGTTGAGCAACTGCGTCAGGCCAGATAAAAGACTTTTTATGTGCTATAATGTGGGATATGAACCTATGAAGTTCCAAAACAATACAGAGGCATTCATAAGATTTTAATGAAATAGAGACACATCAAAATATCATATTTCTTTTATGTTACTTTAATTTTTTCAGATAGAGTATCACTCTATGGCCCAGGCAGGCACTGGCACAATCTCGGCTCACTGCAACCTCCACCTCCTGAGTTCAGGCGATTCTCCTCCCTCAGCCACCCAAGTAGCCAGGACTACAAGTGCACACCACTACACCTGGTTAATTTTTTGTATTTTTAGGAAAGATGGAGTTTTACCATGTTGGCCAGGCTCTCTTGAACTGCTGACCTCAGGTGATTCATCCACCTTGGCCTCCCAAAGTGCTGGGATTACCAGTAAAAGCGACCACGCCCGGCCGAAAGATCTTATTTCTTACATCAAAATTCAGTAACCTGGCCAGGTGCGGTGGCTCATGCCTATAATCACAGCGCTTTGGGAGGCTGAGGCAGGCAAATCACCTGAGGTTGGGAATTGGAGACAAGTCTGACCAACATGGTGAAACCTCGTCTCTAATAAAAATATAAAAATTAGCCAGCTGTGGTGGCAGGCTCCTGTAATCCAGCTACTCAGGAGGCTGAGACACGAGAATCGCTTGAACCCGGGAGGTGGAGGTTGCAGTGAGCTGAGATTACGCCACTGCACTCCAGCCTGGGTGACAGAGTGAGAGATCTTGTCTCAGAAAAAAACAAAAACAAAAACAAACTGGCAGTGACGGAAACCATTTAAAACTGGGACTATCGGCCGGGCTCAGTGGCTCACGCCTGTAATCCCAGCACTTTCGGAGGCTGAGGCAGGCAGATCACCTGAGGTCAGGAGTTCAAGACCAGTCTGACCAATATGGCGAAACTCTGTCTCTACTAAAAATACAAAATTAGCCAGGCATGGGGGCGCATGCCTGTAATCCCAGCTACTCGGGAGGCTGAGGCAGGAGAAACACTTGTGGTGAGTCGAGATCACGCCACTGCACTACAGCCCGGGCAACAAGAGTGAAATTCTGTCTCAAAAATAATAACCAAAAAAACCCCCCAAAACTGGGACTGTCTCTGCAAGTGTGAGATATATGTGGTCACCAGAGATATGCATGACTGCAGCAGAAGGAATGGTTAAAAGCAAAAACCAGAAGGAGGTCAAGCGTGGTGTCTCCTGGCTGTAATCCCACGACTTTGGAAGGCTAAGGCGGGAAAATCACTTGAGCCCAGGAGTTTGAGACAGCCTGGGCAACATTGTGAGAGGCCATTTCTACAATGAGAAAAAAAAAAAAAATGGTGGTTCATGCCTGTAATCCCAACACTTTCGGAGGCTGAGGCAGGCAGATCACCTGAAGTCAGGAGTCTGAGGCCAGCTTGGCCAACATGGTGAAACCCTGTCTCTACTAAAAATATAAAAAAAATTAGTCGGGTGTGGTGGCCTGCACCTGTAATCCCAGCTACTCAGAAGGCTGAGACAGGAGAATCACTTGAATCCAGGAGGTGGAGGTTGCAGTGAGCCGAGATCATGCCACTGCACTCCAGCCTGGGCGACAGGGCGACACTCTGACTCAGAAAAAAACACAAAAGGCTGAGAGCGGTAGCTCACACCTATAATCCCAGCACTTTGAGGGGCCAAGATGGGTAGGAGTTCAAGACCAGCCTGGCCAACATGGTGAAACCCTGTCTCTACTAAAAATACAAAAAAATGGCTGGGCGCGGTGGCTCATGCCTGTAATCCCAGCACTTTGGGAGGCTGAGGCGGGTGGATCACCTGAGGTCAGGAGGTCGAGACCAGCCTGACCAACATGGAGAAACCCTGTCTCTACTAAAAACACAAAATTACCTAGGCATAGTGGCGCATGCCTGCAATCCCAACTACTTGGGAAGGCTGAGGCAGGCAAATCGCTTGAACCTGGGAAGTGGAGGTTGTGATGAGCCGAGATTGCGCCACTGTACTCCAGCCTGGGCAACAAGAGCGAAACTCCGTCTCAAAAAACAAAACAAAACAAAACAAAAATACAAAAAAATTAGCCGGGCATCGTGGTGGGCACCTGTAATCCTAGCTACTCGCAAGGCTGAGGCAGGAGAATCGCTTGAACATGGGAGGCGGAGGAGGCAGAGCACAAGATTCCATCTCAAAACAACAACAACAACAACAAAAAAGAAAAAAACACGCAGGGTGCAGTGGCTTACGCCTGTAATCCCAATACTTTGGGAGGCTGAGGTAGGTGGATCACCTGAGGTCAGGAATTCAAGACCAGCCAGGCCAGCATGGTGTAACCCCATCTCTACAAAAAATACAAAAATTAGGCAGGTGTGGTGGTGTGTGCCTGTAGTCCCACTTACTCGGGAGGCTGAGGCACGAGAATCGCTTGAACCCTGCAGAGGTTGCAGTGAGCTGAGTTGCGCCACTGCACTCCTGCCTGGGCGACAGAGAAAGACTCCATCTCAAAAATAAGTAAATAAACAAACCAACCAACCCACAAAAATCTAAAAGGAATACTTTCAAAGAGGCTCTACAGAACAATATTCTGGGATGGAGATCCAGGGACAAAAGAAGACAGCTTGAGTCAAATTAGAACAAGCATCAAAGCTAAATCTATTACTTACATAAAGAAAAAAACAAAGATAAAACAAAAAAAACCTCAACCATAATACTCAAAGACACCTCTTCATTTGGGTCTTATTGGGCATTTGTGGTTCTTCTATGAGTTTCTCATCTTCTAAGGCCCAGGGGAAGGTTTAGGGTCACAACGCGGCTACCAGCACTTACTCTGGAGGAGCCATTTTGCTGAGCTCAACATCTTTAAGGAAGTCGCTCTGTAGGGTCTGTTCAGCTGTGCACCGCTTACTAGGATCTAGTGTCAGCATGTGGTCCAATAAATCAAGTGCTGCAGAAGGAATGCTATGGAAAAGAACACAGAAAGGACAAGTTCACAATGACCCTACAGTTCTCAAATTTTGTGTGAAAGGGTCTCACACCTGTAATTCCAGCACTTTAGGAGGCCAAGGTAGGAGGACTGCTTGAGGCCAGAAGTTTGAGATCAATCTGGGCAACATACTGAGACTGCACCCTCTACAAATAAATATATTTTTAATTAGCTGGGTGCAGTAATGTGCACCCTGTTGTCTCAGCTACTTGGGAGGCTGACAATGGAGAATCAATTGAGCCTAGGAATTTGAGGCTGCGGTGAGCTCTTACTGCACAACCACATTCTAGCCTGGGTAACAGAGCAAGAGTCCATCTCTTTTAAAAAAAAAAAAGGATGGGCAATGGTGGCTCATGCCTATAGTCCCACCCAGCACTTTGGGAGGCTGAAGCGAGTGGATCATTTGAGGTCAGGAGTTCAGGCCCAGCCTGGCCAACACAGTGAAACCCCATCTCTACTAAAAATAGAAAAAATTAGCCAGGCATGGTGACGCATGCTTGTAATCCTAGCTCCTCGGAGGGCTGAGAATCGCTTGGACCCAGAAGGCGGAGGTTGCAGTGAGATCACACCTAGACAGAGTGAGACAGTCTCAAAAAAAAAAAAAAGTCTTTGAATTTCCATGTAAAACCAAAGAAAGGAAGTTGGAAGTTGGCTAACGCAAGCAAGCAGATTTGCTCCCACACAGGATTTAAGAAATACTGGGCCGGGAACAGGCGTGGTGGCTCAAGCCTATAATCCCAGCACTTTGGGAGGCCGAGGCGGGTGGATCACAAGGTCAGGAGATCGAGACCATCCTGGCTAACACGGTGAAACCCCGTCTCTACTAAAAGTACCAAAAATTAGCCAGGCATGGTGGCAGGCGCCTATAGTCCCAGCTACTCAGGAGGCTGAGGCAGGAGAATGGCGTGAACCCGGGAGGCGGAGCCTGCACTGAGCTGAGATCACACCACTGGACTCCACCCTGGGCGACAGAGTGAGACTCCGTCTCAAAAAAATAAAAAAAAAGAGAAATGCTGGGCCGGGCACAGTCGCTCATGCCTGTAATCCCCGCACTTTGAGGGGCCAAGGCGGGTGGATAATCTGAGATCAGGAGTTTGAGACCAGGCTGGCTAACATGGTGAAACCCCGTTTCTATTAAAAATACAAAAAAATTAGCTGGGCGTGGTGGCACGTGCCTGTAATCCCTGCTACTCAGGAAGCTGAGGCAGGAGAAATACTTGAACCCAGGAGGCAGAGGTTGCAGTGAGCCGACGTCATGCCATTGCACTCTGGCTTGGGCAACAAGAGCGAAACCTCGTCTCAAAAACAAACAAACAAACAAACAAACAAACAAGAAATGCTGTGCTATAACACAAGTAAAAATATGGCCAGTTCTGGCCAGGTGTGGTGGCTTGCACCTATAATCCCAGCTCTTCGGGAGGCCAAGGCGGGGAGATCACATGAGGTCAGGAGTTCAAGACCAGTCTGGCCAACATGGTGAAATGCCATTTCTACTAAAAATACAAAAATTAACTGTGCATGGTGGCAGGTGCCTGTAATTCCAGCTACTTGGAAGGTTGAGGCAGGAGAATTGCTTGAACCTGAGAGACAAGGGTTGTGGTGAGCCGAGATCGCATCACTGCACTCCAACCTGGGTGCAACACACACAAAAATATGGCCAGTTCTATCCATCTATTAAAGTTAAAAAAAATAAAACAACAGAGAGGGAAAAAAGTAAGAAGAAAAACAAAACCAAAACATGGCCAGGCGTGGTAGCACAACCAGTGATCTTAGCCTCCCATAGTTTAAGCCCAGCACTTTGGGAGGCTGAAGCAGGAAGATCACTTGAGCCCAGGAGCTCAAGACCAGCCTGGGCAACATTAGGAGACCCTATCTCTACAGGGGGGAAAAAAATGCCAGGTGTGGTGGCAGTTGCCTGTGGTCCCAGCTATTCAGAAGGTTAAGGTGGGGCCAGGCGCGGTGGCTCATGCCTATAATCTCAGCACTTTGGAAGGCGGAGGTGGGTGGATCACAAAGTCAGGAGTTCAAGACCAGCCTAGCCAACATGGTGAAACCCCGTCTCTACTAAAAATACAAAAATTAGCTGGGCGTGGTGGCAGGCGCCTGTAATCCCAACTACGTGGGAGGCTGAGGCAGGAGAATCACTTGAACTCGGAGGGTAGAGGTTGCAGTGAGCCGAGCTCACACCGTTGCACTCCAGCCTGGGCAGCAAAGTGAGACTGTCTCAAAAAAAAAAAAAAGAAAAGGCTAAGGTGGGAGGATTGCTTGAGCCCAGCAGGTCAAGGCTGCAGTGAGCCCTAAGCATGCCACTGCACTCCAGCCTGGACAACAGAGCAACACCCTGTCTCAATTTAAAAAACAAACAAACAAACAAAAAACCATGAAGCAACAGTTCCATTCTCTTTTTTTCATGGGAAGATCAAGAAGGCTATGAGAAAATTTATATATTGTTCAAAATAAAATGGTTTTCTATTGTCTAAAGCCTTCAGAAGAGAAAATTACAAAAGGGCTATGATAAAACTCATATACTGTTCAAAACTAAAATGTTTTCCTACACTGTGTTGCCATGATAAATTGGGACATTAATTCCCCAGACCAGGAAAAAGTCAAGTCTCAACACCAGCCAGACACAGAAACGAGATGTAACATTTTCCCCAAACTCACAAAGAGAATTCTTCTCGTAGACGCCTTCTATATTGCTTCTTCGGTTTCATGGTGTTGAAGTAGGGCAGTTTGATAACATCAGGCCACACAGCTGGACAAGGGCTACCACAGAGTCGGCTGAAAACAAAGCAAAAAGCAAGAACAACAGAGTGAGTGAGTCAGCATCATGAATTCTGGAGGTTTCAGAATCAGTAATTATTACCTCTTGAGGTCTGGGGAATCTTTGCTTATTACATTAGAGGGCATGCAGAAAGGAAAATATGATATTACTGCTTTAAGGACAGAAAGGAATAGAACAGAAAGAACTGGTTATAATAGAGCAAAGAAAACATACTTGGATAATAATCCTAAACGATTCACATTATTTGGATTTGTGGAATGTTTTGATCCCCCTATACAGGTTTTTATTACCAGTTTTGTTCTGTTCGGTTAATACTAATTACAAAGGGCTAAGTTGGTCCTATAGTAACCCTATAAGGTAAACTGTGAGATAAGAAGACAGTATAAGACTGAACATTTTGATAGATAATTGACAGTTTACCAAATAACAAAAAAAAAAAATTGAGTTACATACCACCTTTAAAAAACGTCTACATTGGCCGGGGGCGGTGGCTCACGCCTGTAATCCCAGCACTTTGGGAGGCCAAGGCGGGCAGCTCACAAGATCAGGAGATCGAGACCATCCTGGCTAACACGGTGAAACCCTGTCTCTACTAAAAATACAAAAAAATTAGATGGGGGTGGCGGCAGGCGCCTGTAGTCCCAGCTACTCAGGAGGCTGAGGTAGGAGAATGGCGTGAACCCGAGAGGTGGAGCTTGCAGTGAGCCGAGATCACGCCACTGCATTCCAGCCTGGGCGACAGAGCGAGACTCCGTCTCAAAAAAAAGAAAAAACAAAGGTCTACATTAGGCTGGTGTGGTGGCTCATGTGTGTAATCCCAGCACTTTGGGAGGTCAAGGCGGGAGGACTGTTTGAGCCCAGGAGTTCAAGCCTAGGCAACAAACATAATGAGACCCTGTCTCTACAAAACAAACGAATGAAAAAATAGCTGGGACTACAGGTGTAGTCCAAGCTACTCAGGAGGGTAAGGAGGGAGTATCACTTGAGTGCAGGAGTTTGAGGCTGCAGTGAACTATGATTACGCCACTGCACTCCACTCTAGGTGACAAAGTGAGACACTCTCTATTTAAAAACAACAAAAAACAAAAAACACTACACTAACCTGCTATATTCTTCCCTTTAATTTTATTGAAAAAATAAAACAAACACAAATCCGCCCAAATGCCAGCCCAATCCTGGGCCTTCCCCAAATTTTCTATTATAGGTTGTATTTCATAACTATTTACTTGCTATATACCTTACTAAATTCTAAATTATTTGAAGGCAGGGACGTACTTTTTTTATCTCTGAATCCTAAAGTTTAATGTTAAAAGTAATCTGTTGTACAACAGGCTCAATAAATGTTTACTGAATAAATTTAATCTAATCTGAGCTATGAATGGAAGGGCCATCCCAAAAATGGTATGCTTTTATATGAAGAGCTAATAAAAAATATGCAAGGTAAGACCTAAAAATGAGATGGAATAAAACTTCTTTATATGCATAGCCCATGACAAAATATATGGTAAACCTGACTGAGTAAAGAGAAACTTACTTGGACATAAGAAACATAAACTCATTCACAATGACTAGAAAGTGTTAGAAACTGGAGGATGAGATTACCTATCACACCTGGGCACTCAAGAGCACATGTACAGCTGTACCTGATCAGTTCCAGTTGAGCCAGTTCCAGATTGGCTTGAAAAATAGGCTTCTTTGTGAACAGTTCCCCAAGAATACATCTAGAAAAGGTAAAATTGAGAGGTCAGAAGAGAAATTCTTAGAGCCTATTTAAAGTGTCTCAAAAATTTTTTATATTATTAATGTATCGAGTTGCAATGAAGATAACTAGCCCCAAATTTCAGAGTCTGAGTTTCCAAAGAAAAAATATTTCTTACAGTGAAACAGAAAGTATAAAGGATTTAAATTTGCCAGCAGATCAAACTTTTGTCACCTATTAAGGACACTCTATGAACAGAGAAAGGGAGTCAAGAGTCCTTTTCTATCACGCCATTGTAAATTAAGGAAATAACTAAAGACAATTTTACAAGGATGCTCAAAATTAAAGAACAATACTAACAAAAAATAAATAAACAAAGATGCTCTCTGTAGCTAGTTTCTATAAAGTTTGTATTCGTTTTTGTCATTAATCTGTTCTGTAGAAGATGCATTATACTATAGCCCTCTTGGCACTGTATTGCAAAGAAAATAATTTACTGTCATCAGCTAAGATCACTTGGACTTTTTTAGTTTTATTTTTTGAGATAAGAGTCTCACTCTGTCACCCAGGCTGGAGTGCAGTGGCGCAATCTCCGCTCACTGTAACCTTTGCCTCCTGGGTTCAAGTGATTCTCTGCCTCAGCCTTCCAAGTACCTGGAACTACAGGCATGCACCACCACACCCGGCTAATTTTTTTGTATTTTTAGTAGAATCTAGTGACTAAAACATGAATATATCTCAAATCATTTATGCTGATTAAAAGAGTGGGGGGAGTATATACTATATAATTTCATTTGTATAAAATTTTAGAAATAGAAATTTATCTATATAGTGACAGAAAGCAGAACAGTGGTTTGCTTGGTAATGGGAGGGTATGGGTAGAGGAAAGGGATTATAAAAGAGCATAAGGAAACTGGTGGATGATCATTATCTTGGCTGTGTTGATGGTTTTACTGGTGGATATATTAGGTAAAAACATATAAAAATATATGCAGTTTATACTTCAATAAAAAAGGTTTAAATATTGAATGAATTTGAAAGGCTATACTAAAATTTTCTGTACTATTCTTGTAACTTTTCCATAGATTGAAATTATTTCAAAATAAATTAAAATAAAGGCTGAGCACGGCAGCTCATGCCTGTAATCCCAGTACTTTGGGAGGCCTAGGCAAGAGGACCACTTGAAGCCAAGAGTTCAGGACCAGACTGGTAACATAGAAAGACCACATCTCTTTGAAATAATAATAATAATAAAAGATTACATGAACATTCTACACTTTTTGTTATATGCCTGAAATTTTTCATTTTTTTTGAAGTGAGGAGAGAAAAAAAAAAGGTCAATCTGTCTGACCTATGCTTTGAAATGAAACAAATACAAAACCAAATTTATAGTTTTACTTTGAAATTCTTTAGTTTGACTTAATTTGAGAAAGCAAAACAAACCTAGCTTTTTAAGTAGTACTTTTCTATTAGAATTTGGACCTTTAAACAAATTATGTTAAAACAACTTTAAAGATAAATTCTTACTTCCTGCATTCTCTCAAACCCTATTCAGAGATGGAAAAGTAAAAGTAAAATTTAGGCCGGGCCCAGTGGCTGATGCCTGTAATCCTGGCATTTGGGGAGGCCAACGTGGGAGGATTGCTTGAGCCCAGGAGTGTGAGACCAGGTTGGGCAACACAGTGAGATCTCAACTCTATAAAAATTAAAGAAAAGTAAAATTTAGGCCGGGCGCGGTGGCTCAAGCCTGTAATCCCAGCACTTTGGGAGGCCGAGACGGGTGGATCACGAGGTCAGGAGATCGAGACCATCCTGGCTAACACGGTGAAACCCCGTCTCTACTGAAAAATACAAAAAACTAGCCGGGCGAGGTGGCGGGCGCCTGCAGTCCCAGCTACTTGGGAGGCTGAGGCAGGAGAATGGCGTGAACCCAGGAGGCGGAGCTTGCAGTGAGCTGAGATCCGGCCACTGCACTCCAGCCTGGGCGACAGAGCGAGACTCCATCTCAAAAAAAAAAAAAGAAAAGTAAAATTTAATTCTGCTTTCAACATTAACTGCCACATCAAGTTCTAAGTGCAGTGTTGTCGTCACAGTGGGTAAAATCAGACATTTAAAAAAGAAAAAAAGAAAAAAAAAAAAACCACTAGGTTTTCAGATTCCCAACATAATTTGCTGTACTAGTCTTTCTAGTTTCTCCTCTTGATTCTAATTTGCACACTGAACTGTCATACCAATTCTCTATAAAAAATCCCATAAAAATATCTTCAGAGAGACTACCATGGATCACCAAAGTAGTAAGTTCACATCAAAACTCAAACAAAATCTTAATTCAATGAGCCACTGGGCTTTGAAGAATGTCTAAATTTCTGTAGTTTTAATTTCCAATTGTGTTTTTCTGTTTTATTTTCTTTTGGTTTCCAGTCCTTTGGTGGGAAGACGTCTTCATTATGTAATCAACACTTTGCTACTGCACTGAGGTGGCAGGCTGCACAGACTGAAATAATAGTACCAAACAGAGCTATGACTTTCCCCATGCATCTTAATGGGGCGTTAACTTTAGAGCCTGGTTGTGATAATTTAAATGCTAATACTGTTAAACCAAATAGTCCAGAACAAAAACACACCCAGCTTGAGTCAGTAAAATTTAACTAAAGCTTTATTTGATTTGGGTAGGCTACTACAGAAATTATGCTCTTTCTCCATCATTCTGTTGAATTTTAAAATAAAACCCCTGTAGTGCTCCTCTTAAAGACTGACATTAATAGAGGAAGGAAAAGAATGGAAAGAAGTGATTTGCTCCACTGGGAAGTATATATGTCAGAATTGTAAAGTATAGAGGTCAAGGACAGTGTGTGAGTGGGCATAAATCATACAACATAAGATACAATTAACAAACATGGCCCATTTAAAACATCCATGCCCCAACACACAAACTGTAGTTTCTAAATATAATTTTCCACTAAAAGGAACTAAGACTCCTTAGAGAAATGGCTGATTCCAGTTCTGGGACAGGAAATGAACAGGACAAGCTTAGAACCAAAAACAAGATGTTTTCTACTATAACACTACTATGGTGTGTCAAAAGGACTCAAAATATAGCCGGAATAAGCTCCCACTGGCTAAAGCCTGCATAGTTTGAACAAGAATAAGGATAATAACCACAATGGATTAAAATACATCAAATAAGTTTAAATCTACGAGTTCATAATAAAACCAAAAAACAAAAACATTTTTCATTGGTCACCTTTGAAGGATACTAGGAAACTACTTCATTATTTTGAAAACTGTTAAATAAAATTAAAGAATTAACTTTTATCCTACCTTTTCTATATTATTTAGACCTGAGTTCAGCCAAACAGATGGGAGGATATAAAGCATTCCAGTAAGAAATGATATAATTAGAATGTGACCATCATAAAATAACCACAAATGAATTAACAGATGTGGGCAATGGCCAAGTAACTGATAACATCCCAAAAAAAGACTATTACTATTATGTAAAGTGGTATGTGTGTACCAATCTGCTCATTTAGAACTGCCCTCACAAGGCCATAATAAAAAGCTGACTAGTTTATACTGGATTGTTTTGTTGTTTCAAAATCTTCCACAGACAACATACTCATTTACTGCTTGTACTCTGGGCAGAGGCTCCCACTGCTCCCCACCTCCCAACTCTGATATACCACTGATTATACAACTTTTGTTAGAAGTATTCAAAACCAACTGTAAAGTAGTTTCAGGGTCTACTACCCTGACCCTGTGTGGGTGGTAAGTAATCAACCTTTAATCCATTTACAATTTGTGAAAAGTAAAAAAGATAAGCTGGGTACACCAACATGCGCCTGTAGTCACAGCTATTCAGGAGGCTGAGACAGGAGGACTGCTTGAGCCCAGGAGTTCAAGGATATAGCGTGCTATGATCATGCTTATGAACAGCCACTGGACTCGAGAATGGGCAACATAGAAAGACTCTGTCTCAAACAATAAAAAGATAAAAAATTGGCCAGGCGCGGTGGCTCACGCCTGTAATCCCAGCACTTTGGGAGGCCGAAGCGGGCGGATCATGAGGTCAGGAGATTGAGACCATCCTGGCGAATACGGTGAAACCCCGTCTCTACTAAAAATACAAAAAAATTAGCCGGGTGTGGTGGCGGGCGCCTCTAGTCCCAACTTCTAGGGAGGCTGAGGCAGGAGAATGGCTTGAACCCGGGAGGTGGTGGAGCTTGCAGTGAGCAGAGATCCCGCCACTGCACTCCAGCCTGGGCAACAGAGCGAGACTCCTTCTCAAAAAAAAAACAAAAGAAAGATAAAAAATCATGCTAAAATATATATGTATCATCACAAGGATACAATCTGCGAAATCCAGACTACAAAAGGCTAGATAGGACAAGTGAAATAGTTTCTTCTAAGGAAATTATAAGGAAACAAAATAAATCAAAATTAGGTAACGCAGAAGGGGAATGTAAAATTAAAAGATTTGATGTAATCAATTGCAATCTATGAACCTTACTTGGATATCTTATTTTCAAATAAGATATCAATTCAAAGTTTAAACAAAAAAAAGAAGAAATCTGTTTTTTTAAAAAAATGTCTCTGACATTAAGAAATATTCAACAGATTCCCCAGAAATCTGGCCAAAAGTTTATCACCATAAGAGCTCTAAAAAGCCAGTGTACAGAGAAAACAAAGTACAAGTCAATAATACGTAAGTTACAGACAAGAGAAAAAGTTAACAGAACCTTACCCACAGCTCCAAACATCTATGGCTGGTGTGTAACGTTCTTCTCCTAGCAGTAGTTCTGGAGGTCGGTACCACAGAGTAATGACTTTGTTTGTGTAAGGGCGACTGAAATATAAAAAACAACCATGACATAAACTTACAATGGCTTCTGATGAAAAATATTCATATAACTAAATACAAATAGAAATAGGTGCCAAATGAAGATGAGACTGAAAAACAAATGCATAGCAACCTAACACTCCAAAATTAAACTGGTCAGAAGTGGGAGATGAAGAAATAACTTCCAGGCTGGGTGTGGTGGCTCACACCTGTAATCCCAGCACTTGGGAGGCCGAGGTGGGTGGATCACAAGGTCAGGAGATCGAGACCACAGTGAAACCCCGTCTCTACTAAAAATACCAAAAAACTAGCCGGGTGCAGTGGCGGGCGCCTGTAGTCCCAGTTACTCTGGAGGCTGAGGCAGGAGAATGGCATGAACCCGGGAGGCGGAGCTTGCAGTGAGCCGAGATCACGCCACTGCACTCCAGCCTGGGTGACAGAGGAAGACTCCGTCTCAAAAAAAAGAGAAAAAAAAAGAAGTAACTTCCAGGCCTGGCGTGGTGGCTTATGCCTGTAATCCCAGCACTTTGGGAGGCCTATAGGGGAGAATCATTTGAGGCCAGTTCAAGACCAGCCTGGTCAACACTGCAAGATCTCACCTCTATTTTTTTTTTGTTTTTTGAGACGAAGTCTCGCTCTGTCCCCCAGACTGGAATACAGTGGTACCATCTCGGCTTATTGCAAGCTCTGCCTCCCGGGTTCATGCCATTCTCCTGCCTCAGCCTCCCGAGTAGCTGGGACTACAGGCACCCGCCACCATACCTGGCTCATTTTTTGTATTTTTGGTAGAGATGGGATTTCACCCTGTTAGCCAGGATGGTCTTGATCTCCTGCCCTCAGGTGATCCACCCACTTGGGCCTCCCAAAGTGCTGGGATGACAGGCGTGAGCCACCACGCCTGGCCTATTAAAAAAAAAAGAAAAAAGATGGTGGCTCACACCTGTCATCCCAGCACTTTGGGAGGCTGAGTGGGTGGATCACCTAAGGTTGGGAGTTCAAGAGCAGCGTGACCAACAAGGAGAAACCCCATCTCCACTAAAAATACAAAATTAGCCAGGCGTGGCGGCGCATGCCTGTAATCCCAGTTAGTTGGGAGGCTGAGGCAGGGGAATTGCTTGAACCTGGGAAGCAGAGGTTTCAGTGAGCCAAGATCGTGCCATTACACTCCAGCCTGAGCAACAAGTGCAAATCTCTGGGAAAGAAAAAGAAAAAGGAAGAGAAGAGAAAAGAGACAGAAATAAATAACTTCCATTCTAATTTATTTATTCCAGTCAAGGGACAATTCAAGAATTTAGATAAAATTTGCTGCCTAAAATCTAAGTGATAACGCTTTCAGATAATTAGGGAACTCTAACAGTTGCTGCAACTTGCAGAATACTAGAATATCCAGGAATAAAAAAGATTCTTAGCTGGGTGCGGTGGCTCATGCCTGTAATCCCAGCACTTTGAGAAGCCGAGGCAGACGAATCACGAGGTCAGGAGTTTGAGACCAGCCTGGCCAACATGGTGAAACCCCGTCTCTACCAAAAACAACAAAAAATTAGCTGGGCATAGTGGCGGGCACCTGTAATCCCAGCTACTCGGGAGGCTGAGGCAGGAGAATTGCTTGAACCTGAGAGGTGGAGGTTGCAATGAGCGGAGATCACGCCACTGCACTCCAGCCCAGGTGACAGAGTGAGACTCTGTCTCAAAAAAAAAGAAAAGAAAAGGCCGGGCACAGTGGCTCACGCCTGTAATCCCAGCACTTTGGGAGGCCAAGGCGGGTAAATCACGAGGTCAGGAGATCGAGACCATCCTGGCTAACATGGTGAAACCCTTTCTCTTCTAAAAACACAAAAAATTAGCCAGGCATGGTGGCGGGCGCCTGTAGTCCCAGCTACTCGGGAGGCTGAGGCAGGAGAATGGCTTGAACCCAGGAGGCAGAGCTTGCAGTGAGCCGAGATTGCACCACTGCACTCCAGCCTGGGCGACTGAGCAAGACTCTGTCTCAAAAAAAAAAAAAAAAAAGATTATTGGCTGGATGTGGTGGCTCACGTCTGTAATCCCAGCACTTTCGGAGGCTGAGGCAGGCAGGTAGCTTGAGCCCAGGAGTTCAATACTACCCTGGGCAACATAGCAAAATCCTGTCTCTAGTAAAAATACAAAAATTAGCCAGGTGTGATGGTACCCACCTATGGTCCCAGCTACTTGTGAGATTAGGGTGGGAGAATCACCCGAGCCCACAGAGGTTGAGGCTGCAGTGAGCTGAGATCAAGCCATGCACTCCAGCCTGAGCAACAGAGTAAGACCCTGCCTCAAAAAAACAAACCTTATTCCCCACATGTAATTTTATTAATGCCTTACCTCTCTTCAGAGTTATAGAGCCGAGCAAGTCCAAAATCTGCTAGTTTGATTTGCCCACTGTAAAACAAAAAACAATTATTTTCATAAGCAATAGCAGTGGCCTCCAAAATACACCTGAAAAGTCATGCGCCAAGTTAGGAGCTAAAGGAATTACAAAAATAAATTTTAACTTCTGCTCTCTTCTTTCTACTCTTTTCTCTTTCTTTTTAAAAAATTTCATACAATACCCAGTTCATGGTTACTTCTACTCTTAACACTCAATCCCCCTAATTAAACCTTTTTTGACTACTTCAATTATAATGCCTTAGGCTTTTAAAAGAAACAAACTATTATTACATTTTCTGAATTTGACTCCTTAGCTAAGTTTATTTCATGGTAAACAACAGTACCTAGAACCTGCTAGATTAAATACTTATTGTTGGGAAAAAAAGAAATGAGCTGTTCTAGATTGAGAAAGATTTAAGAGGGCAAACAGACTGGGCATGGTGGCTCACACCTGTAATCCCAGAACTTTGGGAGGCCACTGCACTCCAGCCTGGGCAACAGAGCAAGACCCTATCTCTGAAAAAACAAGCAAAGAAACCCAGTTTCCTGGGCCCCATTCTTAAGAGATGCTGACTCAGTAGAACGTGGCTCATGAATCTGCATTTCTAGCAGGCCCATATGTGATGCTAATGCAGGTGGCCTGAGAATCAGGCTTTGAGAATCACTTCAAGGAGATCCCAACCATGTTTCACTCTGCTCAGTAATTTTTTTTTTTTTTTTTTTTTTTTTTTTTTTTTTTTTTTTTTTTTTTTGAGACAGAGTCTCACTCTATCACTCAGGCTGGAGTGCAGGGGTGCAACTGTGGCTCACTGCAGCCTTGATGATCTCCCGGGTTCAAGTGATTCTCTAGCCTCAGCCTCCCGAGTAGCTGGGACTACAGGCATGCACCAATATGCTCAGCTAATTATTTTATTGTTTTGTAGAGACAGAGTTCCCCTGTGTTGCCCAGACTGGTCTTAAATTCCTGTGCTCAAGTGATCCTCCCTCCTCAGCCTCCCAAAGGGCTGGAAGTACAGGCATGGGCCACCATGACTGGCCTCTGCTCAGTATTCTATCCTTGACAGTGATATAAAGGAATTTTTTTTTTTTTTTTTAAGTTCCAGGGTACATGTGCAGGTTTGTTACACAGGTAAATGTGTGCCATGGTGGTTGGCTGCACCTCTTGACCCATCACCAAAGTATTAAGCCCAGCAAGCATTGGCTATTTTTCCTGATGCTCTCTCTCCTCCTGCATGAAGGAATAATTTTGAAAACTGCAAGGCAAAATGTTGGGAATCTATTTAAAAACTATTTATTCATTGGAGGGGGTGGACAATGCAAAAAAACCCAACTACTATTTATTGACTACTTTGGATTAATGATAATTATCTAAATTCATGTAACCTCCTTAGTCATATTTATAGCCTTCCAACCTCTTAGGGCATGAAAAGCCAGCTCACTCTCTTACAGGAAGCTGGTGTAGGTGTCTAATAGCTCAGATCAGGCAAAAAAATGAGATACAGATTGCGCATCCAAATCCAAAAATCTGAAATCCAAAATTTTTCAGAACCTTTTCCCCCCATCTTTGTCTGAAGCAAAATCTGAAACTTTTTGAGTGCCAACATGATACTCAAAGGATATACTCACTGGAACATTTCAGATTTGGGATGTTCAGAACCAGTAAATATAATGTAAATATTCCAAAATCTAAAAAAATCTGAAATCCAAAAGAATTCTCGTCTCAAGCACAGGGGATACTCAATATGTAGTACAGAAAAAAGGCCAAGAGGTGCTCCCCAAGATATGAACATGGGACAATATTAAAACAAGGTAACTACCAGCAACAAACTTCTACATTAAATCAATGCTTATTCCTAGTCAAGTTAAAGGTACCTTATCCATTTGCCCCAAACACCATTACATTAAGTTCAATATAAGCAAATTGTGAGAAAAGCAGAAAGAAATAGTTAACTTATATTGAGACAAAGATGATTCCTCAAATTACTTGGCATCCTTACTCTGAAAGTCTGAGACAATTCAAGATTCAAGGCACATAGTATGACTGAAAGGTAAAATGGAAATGGATATATAGTTACAGAAATCAGGGTAGACCTGAATATCACCTGCATCTAACATATTTCCTGCCTGGCTCACACTAGGTACTAAATAAATGTTTATTAAATGAATTTAGTCTGCTATAGAACCTGTTGATAGCACTTTTTTTTTTTTTTTTTTTAAAGACTGAGTTTCACTCTTGTTGCCCAGCCTGGAGTGCAATGGCGCTATCTCAGCTCACTTGCAACCTCTGCCCCCCGAATGGCTGGGATTATAGGCATGCACCACCACTCATGGCTAATTTTGTAGTTTTAGTAGAGATGGCGTTTCTCCATGTTGGTTAGGCTGGTCTTGAACTCCCTACCTCAGGTGATCCACCTGCCTTGGCCTCCCAAAGTGCTGGGATTACAGGTATAAGCCACCACGCCAGGCCGCTGATAGCACTTTTACTGACTCCTGCTTTTCCTTACAACTAAACCATTAAGGTGATTCACTATGAAGTGTGGAAGTATTGGTAACTTTTTGCAATATAAAATAGAACAGGCTGGGTGCAGTGGCTCACGCCTGTAGTCCCAACACTTTGGGAGACCGAGGCAGGCGGATCATTTGAGTCAGGAGTTTGAGACCACCCTGGTGAAACCCCCGTCTCTACTAAAAATACAAAAATCAGATGGGCGTGGCAGTAGACACCTATAGTCCTAGCCACTTGGGAGGCTGAGGCGGGAGAATCACTTGAACCCGGGAGGCCGAGGTTGCAGTGAGCCGAGATTGTGCCACTGCACTCCAGCCTGGGTGACACAGCGAGACTCCATCTCAAAAAATAAAATACAAAATAAATAAATAAAATAAAATAAAATACAAAAGAAGTGGCATCATATTGTTTGTCCTGTCTCAAAGGAATAAGATGAATACAGAAATATGTGGAGAATTCTTTCTGAGACCATGGTTTAACATTTTTGCCTTTTGACAAGACCTTCAAGTACACAGTGCCTCCACTCACTCCCAGTTCAGCCCTCTCTCACATAATACTTCCTTCCCTTGCCTGCCTGGACCCCTTGGTTAATTAACCAAACTACTGTCTTCCTGGTTCCCTTAGCTTGTGATATAGCTAATCCATAAGTCCCTAATTCTGGATCATTAGAAAATCTGCCTTTTCTGCTCTACCTAGAGAGCTGAACACAAGTGCAAAAAATAAAAATCATATAACTGGCCGGGCGTGGTGGCTCACACCTGTAATCCTAGCACTTTAGGAGGCTGAGGTGGGTGGATCACTTGAGGTCAGAGGTTTGAGACGCAGCCTGGCCAACATGGTGAAACCCCGTCTCTAAAAATACAAAAATTAGCCAGGTGTGGTGGCATGCGCCTGTAGTCCCAACTACTCGGAAGGCGGAGGCAGGAGAACTGCTTGAACCCAGGAGGCAGAGGTTGCAGTGAGCCGAGATAGCGCCACTGCACTCCAGCCTGGGTGACAGAGTGAGACTCCATCTCAAAAAAAATAAAAATAAAAAATCATATAATCATATTGTATGGTGCCACTGCAAAATGTGTGACTTCCTCTCTCTGTTAATTCCTGAATGCTAATGATTAGTACTTTTACTTGCCTGTAATCAGTAACTTCCATTCAGCATGGCTGTCATTACAGACCTGTGGCATTCTCCTTAATGCTCTAATCCATCCCCTATCCTCTTACACTTACTTAATAAAAATGACCTTTTTCAATGAAAAAATTAAAGTCATTAGGTGAGAGGTACTTAATATCCTACCTTTTTCCAGTAAACCTACTTCCATCTATAATCTTACTTTCCTCTTTCCTTTTTTTTTTTTTTTTTGAGACGGAGTCTCGCTCTGTCGCCCAGGCTGGAGTGCAGTGGCGCAATCTCGGCTCACTGCAAGCTCCGCCTCCCGGGTTCACGCCATTCTCCTACCTCAGCCTCCCCAGTAGCTGGGACTACAGGCGCCCGCCACTGCGCCCGGCTAATTTTTTTATATTTTTTAGTAGAGACGGGGTTTCACCATGGTCTCCATCTCCTGACCTTGTGATCCGCCCGCCTCGGCCTCCCAAAGTGCTGGGATTACAGGCGTGAGCCACCGCGCCCGGCTCCTCTTTCCTTTTAATTACAGTTATCCCTCAGTATATCTATGGGATTGGTTCCAAGACTCCCATATATACCAAAATTCAAGCAAACTCAAGTCCTGCAGTAGGTTTTACAGAACCAGCATATATGAAACACTGGTACTTCATATACACAAGTTTGATATACTGCAAACATTGTTTTTTATTTGTCTTTGGTTGGATAAAAATCTGTGTATAAGTGGACATGCCACAGTTGAAACCCGCGTTGTTCAAGGTTCAACGATACATAAAAAGTATGTCAATCTCTTTTCTTGACCAAGGGTAATCAATCCCTCCACCTGTGGCCTCGATCCCATCTATTCTAGAACCTTGCTCCTTTAAATTATTTTGGTTCTTTGCCAAATCTTTTTTATTTTTTATTTTTTTATTTTTTTTTGAGATGGAATCTCGCTCTGTCACCAGGGTGGAGTGCCGTGGCGCGATCTCAGCTCACTGCAACCTCCGCCTCCCAGGTTCAAACGATTCTCCTGCCTCAACCTCCTGAGTAGCTGGGACTACAGGTATGTGCCTCCACATCCAGTTTGTTTTTGTATTTTCAGTAGAGATGGGGTTTCACCATGTTGGACAGGATGGTCTCAATCTCTTGACCTCGTGATCCGCCCACCTTGGCCTCCCAAAGTGCTGGGATTACAGGTGTGAGCCACCACACCCGGCCTTTTTTTTTTTTCCGAGACGGAGTCTTGCTCTGTTGCCAGGCTGGAGTGCAGTGGCGCGATCTCACCTCACTGCAACCTCCGTCTCCCAGGTTCAAGTGATTCCCCTGCCTCAGCCTCCCAAGTAGCTGGGATTACAGTCACGTGCCACCGCACCCAGCTAATTTTTTGTATTTTAGTAGAGACAGGGCTTTACCATGTTGAGCAAGATGATCTCGATCTCCTGACCTCGTGATCCGCCCACCTCGGCCTCCCAAAGTGCTGGGATTACAGGCGTGAGCCACTGTGCCCAGCCCCCAAATCTTTAACTGCTCCCTTTGTACAGATATTCTCTCTCCTTAGCATTTTTTTTTTTTTTTTTGAGACAGGGTCTTGCTCTGTCACCCAGGCTGGAGTGCAGTGGTGGAATCTCTGCGTCCCAGGTTCAAGCAATTCTCATGCCTTGGCCTCCTGGGCCTGGGATGGGATTAGAGGCGTGCACCACCAAGCTCAGCTAATTTTAGTAGTTTTAGTAGAGACAGAGTTTTGCTATGTTGGCCAGGCTGGTCTCGAACTCCTAGCATCAAGTGACCTGCCCAGCTCAGCCTCCCAAAGTGTTAGGATTTCACATGTGAGCCACCATGTTGGCCTCCCCTTAGCATTTAAATATATTCAAATATCTGCCATCCTTAAAATTAAAAATTAAAGACACCCCCTACCACTACCTTCTCATTAATTGTGCTACTCATCCCCTTACTCCACACTAATATCACTACTGACCTTTTAATTTTCAGATTCTCTTATAATTTGCCTGCATCATCTGACATCAATGATCACTCCCTTCTTAAACTTGCCTATCCTGCATTCATATTTTCCTTATTTTCTTCCTATCTCTCTGACAATTTCTCTTGGGTGACATTTCTGACATTATTTTCTATGCTTGGTAACTACCAAATCTGTACTGGTAGTTTGGAATTCCCAAATGACCATATGCTATTAAATATCACTACCCTGGATATATAAAAGACATATCCAAAAGAGATTTGCCTGTTACCCCATCCATCCTACTCTTCCGTCTTCCTTGTATTGGCTAGTAGTGCCACCCATCTAGATAGTTTTTCAAGTCAGAAACCTGTGAGTGATCTTACTTTCTCTAATTCACTATCTACCATTCACTCATTCAACCAAAGTCTACAGATCTACTGAGTCCATCCCTACTAGTAGTGTCTGGGTTATTTCAAGCACTGACCATTTCATACAAAGTTCTTAGAGGGTCTCTCTGCCTCCAGTTTATGAGCATAAAGTGATAATTTGGCGACCTTTCCAAAACAGAAGACTGACTGCGTCTCTCTTCTATATAAAATGATTTGGTCTCATTTATACTTTGTAATTAAAATATAATGAACATCAAGGAATCCAACTCTGGTCTTCTCTCTCTCTCTTGCCAACTGTTCTCTCTCTTCCTTGCCCAGCTGACAACCCTTCACCGTTTTCTCCAGGCCGTCTCACCCAGAGGTCTGAGTAGACACAGCTAAGTGGGTAAGGGAAGAGGCTGGATGGATCAGGCTAGACCATGGGATTCCTGTATCCTGCCTAGCAACCTGAGGAGGAAATTCAATTTAGTCTGGGACCTCATCAGCTTTCTAACTCTGGAAAGTCAGGAAGAAAAAGGGGCCTTACCCACCAGAAAGGACACCAAACGGACCTGCAATTATTCCCTGCTTTGAGACATCTCCTCATGGAGGAGTAAAGGGAACAGCAGAAAGTATATTATACTATAGGCCAGAAGTTCTTAATGCATTATTTATTATAGATGGAGAGTCACCAACCTCCAACTTTACTAGGAATTATGAGTCAGAGAAAGCAACATAAAGAAATACTCTTGGCCGGGCGCGGTGGCTCACACCTGTAATCCCAGCACTTTGGGAGGCCGAGATGGGTGGATCACGAGGTCAGGAGATCGAGACCATTCTGGCTAACACAGTGAAACCCCATCTCTACTAAAAATACAAAAAGTAAGCCAGGCATGGTGGTGGGCACCTGTAGTCCCAGCTACTCGCGGAGGCTGAGGCAGGAGAATGGTGGGAACCTGGGAGGCAGAGCTTGCAGTGGGCCGAGATCGCGCCACTGCACTCCAGTCTGGGCGACAGAGCCAGACTCCTTCTCAAAAAAAAAAAAAAAAAAAAAGAAATACTCTTTTGGCCGGACACAGTGGCTCACGCCTGTAATACCAGCACTTTGGGAGGCTAAGGCGGGCAGATCACTTGAGGTCAGGAGTTCAAGACCAGCCTGGCCAATATGGTGAAACCCCATCTCTACTAAAAAAAGAAAAATTAGCTGGGCATGGTGGCGGACACCTGTAATCCCAGCTACTTAGGAGGCTGAGGCAGGAGCATCGCCTGAACCCAGGAGTTGGAGGTTGCAGTGAGATCCTGCCATTGAACTCTAGCCTGGGCGACAGAGTGATTAGACTCAGTCTAAGATTATTTCTTTTTTTGAGATGGAGTCTTGCTCTGTCGCCCAGGCTGGAATGATCTCGCCTCACTGCAACCTCCACCTCCTGGGTTCAAGTTATGCTGATCCTTGTCAAATACAGATAAAGTTTAAGTTCCTCAGTGGGGCATACAAGATCCATAAATGGGCTCCATGTAACTATCCAGCTTCATCTCTTGGCCATTACGTGCTTCCCTCTTCTTACTCTAGAAATACTGACCTGTTTACAGGTTTCCAGACATAACGTGTTATTTTCACGTTTATGTGCTTTTGTGGCATGCAGCTTCTTCTGCCTAGAAATTTGATCACCCACTATCAGTTTTTCAGATAAATTCTTATTCATTCCTCAAGGATACATCTTTCCAGATACTCTCAAATTCAAAGGGAAAAAAAATTGAGCTTAATAAAAGTTTACTGAACTGAGTAATTTATTTCTCCTGCAAAAGTTTTGAGTTCCAGTGTTCAGTCATCGCACGTGAGCCTTTTAGAGCTAAAATCTGGAAAGTCCCAGGAAACCATGCAAGATTGGTTATTTTACATCATAAAAAGAGGAAATGTGTCATAATCTTTCCTTTTTCCTATATAATGTCTGCCAGATAAAACTGAACCGAAATGTTTAAAACAATGAGTCAATCAGACAAAAATAGAGGTAACCAACCTAATTACCTAAAGAACTAAACACTTGCCTGATTTAAATGGTACCAGATTTGTTCTTTATTCCTCAGCAAGTAGGCTGTTAAAAAAACTAGTGTGTCAGGGCCAGACGCAGTGGCTCACACCTGTAATCCCAGCACTTTGGGAGGCCGAGGCGGGCGGATCACAAGGTCAGGAGATCGAGACCATCCTGGCTAACACGGTGAAACCCCATCTCTACTAAAAATACAAAAAATCAGCTGGGCGTGGCAACGGGCGCCTGTAATCCCAGCTACTTGGGAGGCTGAGGCAGGAGAATGGCGTGAACCCAGGAGGCAGAGCTTGAGGTGAGCTGAGACCATGCCACTGCACTCCAGCCTGGGCGACAGAGCGAGACTCTGTCTCAAAAACAAACAAACAAAAAAACTAGTGTGCCGGGTGCGGTGGCTCACATCTGTAAACCCAGCACTTTAGGAGGCCAAGGCGGGTGGATCACAAGGTCAGGAGTTCGAGACCAGCCTGGCCAATATAGTGAAACCCCATCTCTACTAAAAATACAAAAATTAGCTGAGCATGGTGCTGGGTGCCTGTAATCCCAGCTACTCGGGAGGCTGAGGCAGGAGAATCACTTGAACCTGGGAAGTGGAGGTTGCAGTGAGCTGAGATCACACCACTACACTCCAGCCTGAACAACAAGAGTGAAACTCCGTCTCAAAAAAAACCTACTATGCATAATACTTCTGATATTACCAATGCAGTATAGGCAAATAAACAGAAAAGAAGAAAGCAGATAATAAAAAACTTCTGATGAATTAACACCTGTTCATCACCAGATTCCTGCCTGTTTACACTATTAAAACCTATGAGTAAGTACTGGGCAGAAAAGGCCAATCACCAACTGCACATCAATGTCTACTCAGAAAGTTGGTAACTGAGAAAGGCTCAAGAACAGCTGAAGGAGCAGGCATGTTTCTCCCACGCTAAACATAGGGAATATCACTAAAAACTCAATGTGTGTGTGAATACTGCACTATTAGGTCTAATTATAATACCAATTAACCATTTGAAACTAAAAAGGTCAGAGGAGAAGAGGAAAGAGATTAATCTTATTTGGTTACTATGTTACCTGTTATTCAGCAAAATGTTAGAACACTTAATATCCCGATGCAGGAAATTCTTTTTGTGACAGTAATCCAATCCTTCCATTAGCTGTTTCATGAACGACTTGATATGGTCTTCAGAAAAGTGCACCAAACCAGATTCTAGCAGTCCCATTAAGTCATGGTCCATATACTCAAACACAAGGTAAAAGGCACCTACATAAGACGAAAAAAAATTAAAAACAAGAAAAAAAAAGAATGCTGAAGTAACAATGCCTCAATCCTAATATAATTTTGGAGTTGACCATAGACTGTCTAGAAAAAACCCTTGAATTTTATAGATGAAGAAACTGAAACTAAGAGTAGTTGAATAATTAGCCCTTCCTAATAATAAATAACGGAGCTAACATTTGAATTAATCTTCTGTGGCTGGGCGCGGTGGCAGATGCCTGTAATCTCAGCACTTTGGGAGGCCAAGGAGGGCAGGTCACTTGAGGTCAAGAGTTCAACACCAGCCTGCCCAACATGGTGAAACCCCATTTCGACTCAAAAAAAAAAAAAAACAAAAATTAGTTGGGCATGGGTGGCACGTGCCTATAATCCTAGCTACTTGGGAGGCTGAGGCGGGAGAATCACTTGAACCCAGGAGCTGGAGGTTGTAGTGAGCTAAGATGGTGCCACTGCATTCCAGCCTGGGTAACAAAGCAAGACTCCTTCTCAAAAAAAAAAAAAAAAAAAGAGGGCCGGGCGTGGTGGCTCACACCTGTAATCCCAGCACTTTGGGAGGCCGAGATGGGCGGATCACGAGGTCAGGAGATCAAGACCATCCTGGCTAACACAGTGAAACTCCATCTCTACTAAAAATACAAAAAATAAGCCAGGCGTGGTGGTGGGCACCTGTAGTCCCAGCTACTCACGGAGGCTGAGGCAGGAGAATGGTGGGAACCTGGGAGGCGGAGCTTGCAGTGAGCTGAGATCGCACCACTGCACTCCAGCCTGGGTGACAGAGCCAGACTCCTTCTCAAAAAAAAAAAAAAAAAAAAAAAAAAAAAAAGGAATTAATCTTCTGATTCCTAGTCTAGTACTGTATGGACTACTCACCTCTTCGTGGGGGCAACTGTCCTGATCAGGTTGCATTACTAGGCTGTTTTTTTTTTTTTTTTTTTTTTTTGAGACAGAGTCTCAGTCTGTCGCCCAGGCTGGAGTACAGTGGCCAGATCTCAGCTCACTGCAAGCTCCACCTCTCGGGTTTACGTCATTCTCCTGCCTCAGCCTCCCAAGTAGCTGGGACCACAGGTGCCCGCCACCTCACTCGGCTAGCTTTTTGTATTTTTTAGTAGAGACAGGGTTTCACCGTGTTAGCCAGGATGGTCTCGATCTCCTGACCTCGTGATCCACCTGTCTCGGCCTCCCAAAGTGCTGGGATTATAGGCTTGAGCCACCACGCCCGGCCGGCTGTTTTTTTAAGATAGACTCTCACTCTGCCACCCATGCTGGAGTGTGGTGGCACTATCTCAGCTCACTGCAACCTCCGTCTCCTGGGTTCAAGCCATTCTCCTGCCTCAGCTTCCCATGTAGCTGGGATTACAAGCATGCGCCACCAAGTCCCGGTTAATTTTTATATTTTGAGTAGAGACGAGATTTCACCATGTTGGTCAGGCTGGTCTCAAACTCCCGACCTCAGGTGACCCGCCCACCTGGGCTTCCCAAAGTGTTCAGATTACAGGCGTCAGCCACCACACTCAGCCTTTTTATATCTTTTTTTGAGACAGAGTCTCATTCTGTTGCCCAGGATGGAGCGCAGTGGCATGATCATGACTCACTACAGCCTCAAACTCCTGGGCTCAAGCAAATCTTCCACCTCAGCCTCTCATGTAGCTGGGAATACAGGCACACGCCGCCACACCCAGTTAATGTTTTTCACTTTCTGTAGAGACAGGGTCTTGCTATGGTACCCAGGTTGGTCTCTAACTCTTCGGCTCAGGCAATCCTTCCATCCCAACATCCCAAAGTGCTGAGGTTAGAGGCATAAACCACTGTGCTCAGCCTGTCTTATTAGACTTTAATGACCTAAGTCAGTTAGCAAATTACAGACCTTAGACCAGAGCCAGCCTGCTGCTTGTTGCTGTAAATGAAGTTGCATTTGTAACACAACCATGCCCATTAGTTACATATTATTGATGACTATTTTGTAAAGGTTTTTATACAAGTTAACAGGACTCAATATGCCAGGGACAGCATAATAAATGTGTTATAAATTATTAGTGAAATTCATAGTACTGGCCGGGCGTGGTGGTTCACGCCTATAATTCCAGCACTTTGGGAGGCCAAGGCAGGAGGACTGCCTGAGGTCAGGAGTTCGAGACCAACCTGGCCAACATGGTGAAACCCCATCTCTACTAAAAAAAAATACAAAAATTAGCCAGGCATGATGGCAGGCGCCTATAATTCCAGCTACACGGGAGGCTAAGGCAGGAGAATCGCTTGAACTCAGGAGGCAGAGGTTGCAGTGAGCCAAGACTGCAACACTGCACTTCAGCCCGGGCAACAAGAGCAAAACTCCACCTCAAGAAAGAAAAAAAAAAAAAAGAGGCTGGGTGTGGTAGTTCATGCCTGTAATCCCGGCACTTTTGGAGGCCAAGGTGGGCAGATCACTTGAGGTCAGGAGTTCGAGACAAGCTTGGCCAACATGGTGAAACCCTAACTGCTAAAAATACAAAAATTACCTGGGCATGGTGGCATGCACCTGTAATTCCAACTACTCAGGGAGGCTGAGGCATGAGAATTGCTTGAACCTGGGAGGCGGAGGTTGCAGTGAGCCAAGACAGCGGCACTGCACTCCAGCCTGGGCGAAAAGAGCAAGATTCCGTCTCAAAAAAAAAGAAAGGAAAAAAATAAAATCGTAGTATTTAAAAATTGAGAGAAAAATGAATCAACGAATTCAATCCCTTAAATTTGGGGCTGTGTTCAGTGACTTATGCCTGTAATCCCCACATTTTGAGGAGCTGAGGTGAGAGGATTGCCTGAGCTTTGGAAACCAGACTGGGCAAAATAGTGAGACACCATCTCCACAAAAAAATTTATAAATTAGCTAGGTGTGATGGTGCTTGCCCGTATTCCTGGACACTTGGGAGGCCGAAGCAAGAGAATCATATGAGCCCAGGAGTTCGAGGCTACAATAAGCTGTGACTGCACCAATGTACTCGAGCCTGGGTGAGAAAGCAAGATTCTGTCTACAAAAAACGAAAAAAAAAGAAGTATGGCCAGGCGTGGTGGCTCACGCCTGTAATCCCAGCACTTTGGGAGGCCGAGGTGGGCAGATCACTTGAGGTCAGGAGTTTGAAACCAGCCTGGCCCACACGGTGAAACCCGATCTCTACTAAAAACACAAAACAGCCGGGCGTGGTGGCGCACACTTGTAATCCCAGCTACTTGGGAGGCTGAGGCAGGAGAATGGCTTGAACCCAGGAGGTGGAAATTGCAGTGAGCCGAGATCATGCCACTGTACTCCAGCCTGGCCAACACAGCAAGACTCCATCTCAAAAAAAAGAGAGAAAAAAAAAAAGTATCTTGGAGAGATTTAGTTAAGACCTCAAATTAATAAGAAAAACACTAAAATTGCAAAAAATACGTAGGCAAAGGACACCTCAAAAAAGAAACCACGTATGTTGGCTAATGCCTATAACCCCAGCAATTTAGGAGGCCAAAGCAAGAGGACTGCTTGAGGCCCAAAGTTCAAGACCAGGCTGGGTTGGCCAGGTGCAGTGGCTCACACCTGTAATACCGCACTATGGGAAGCCAAGACAGAAGGATCACAAGGTCAGGAGATCGAGACCATCCTGGCTGACACAGTGAAACCCCGTCTCTACTAAAAATACAAAAAAATGAGCCAGACGTGGTGGTGGGCGCCTGTAGTCCCAGCTACTTGGGAGGCTGAGGCAGGAGAATGGCGTGAACCTGGGAGGCGGAGCTTGCAGTGAGCAGAGATCATGCCACTGCACTCCAGCCTGGGCGACAGAGCGAGATGTCTCAAAAAAAAAAAAAAAAAAAAAAGACCAGGCTGGGCAACACAGCAAAATCCTGTTTCTACCAAAATTTTTAAAAATCAGCCAGGAGTGCTGTCTAGTCCTAGTTACTTGGGAGGGTGAGTCAGGAGGATCACTTGAACCCAGGAGTTCAGTTACAGTGAGCTGTGATCATGTCACTGCACTGCAGCCTGGGTGACAGAGCAAGATTCTGTCTCCAAAAACAAAAAAAGAGAGAAAGAGAGAGGGAGAGAAAGTAAAAGTAGTAACACAGAGAAAACCCAAAATATTAGGAATATAATCCAAAGTGACATTGGCTGGGTGCGGTGTCTGTAATCCCAGCACTTTAGGAGGCTAAGGTGAGCAGACCGCTTGAGCCCAGGAGTTAGAGACCTGCCTGGGCAACATAGAGAGATCCCGTTTCTACTAAAAATATAAAAAATCAGCTGGATGTGGTGGTGCATGCCTGTTGTCCCAGCTAATCAGGAGGCTGAGGCATGGAGAATCACTTGAGTCTAGAGGTTGAGGATGTAATGAGCTATGATCACCACTGTACTCCAGCCTGGGTGACACACTGAGACTCTGTCTCAAAAAATAAAAATTAAATTAAAATAATATATAAAATAATAATATCATACTTAACCTATCCAGATGACAATTTTTTTTTTGGAGACAGGGTCTTGATCTATTGCCGAGGCTCAAGTACAGCGACACTATCTCGGCTCACTGCAACCTCTGCCTCCCGGGTTCAAGCAATTCTCCTGTCTCAACCTTCCCAGTAGCTGGGATTAAAAGTGCCCAGCACCATGCCCAGTGAATTTTTGCTTTTTTAGTAGAGGGGTGTTTCACCACGTTGGCCAGGCTTGTCTCAAACTCCTGACTTCAGGTGATCCACCGGCCTTGGCCTCCCAAAGTACTGGGATTATAGGCATGAGCAACCACACCTAGCCCAGATGACAATTTTTAAAAAAGATATACTTGGCCGGGTACACTGGCTCACACCTGTAATCCCAGCACTTTGGGGGGCCGAGGTGGGCGATCACCTGGGGTCAGGAATTTGAGACCATCCCAGCCAAATGGCAAAATCTTGTCTCTAATAAAAATACAAAAATTAGCTGGCAGTGGTGGCGTGTGCCTGTAATCCCACCTACTCCAAAGGCTGAAGCAGGAGAATCACTTGAACCCAGGAGGCAGAGGTTGCAGTGAGCCGAGATTGTGTCGCTGTACTGCATCACTGCACTTGAGCCTGGGCGACAGAGTGAGACTCCTTCTCAAAATTAAAAAAAAAAAAGATATACTCAATGTTGGGGATGATACACTGAGATGGACACCCACTGGACATACTATTTTTCTTAAAAGGAATCTGACATTAAATATGAAAATCCATTTGACCAAATAACTCTTACATCAAAAATGCTATACAATGAAAATAAATCATAATGCAAAGATTTATGCAGAAAGATACTCAAGGCATTGCTATTATGTTTTTGGGGTTTTTTTTTTGAGACAGAGTTTTGCTTTTGTCACCCAGGCTGGAGTGCAATGGTGTGATCTCGACTCACTGCAACCTCTGCCTACCGGGTTCAAATGATTCTCCTGCCTCAGCCTCCCAAGCAGCTGAAGATTACAGGTGCTTGCCACCATGCCCAGCTAAATATTGTATTTTTAGTAGAGATGGGGTTCACCATCTTGGCCAGGCTGGTCTCGACCTCCTGACCTCAGGTGATCAACCCGACTCGGCCTCCCAAAGTGTTGGGATTACAGGGGTAAGTCACTGCACCTGGCCTATTTTTTTTATTTTTTAATTGAAAATTGGCAACCAATTGCTCAACAGGGACTGGTAAATTTGGGTTCATGTTTATGCATAGCCATTAAAATGTGTTAAAGATATGAGAAATTGCTTATGACAACACTAAATAACCTTTATAATAATTGCTTATTATACAACACTAAATAACGTTTGATCTTAGCTTTGTTAAAATAAATACAGTAGGCCGGGCGCGGTGGCTCAAGCCTGTAATCCCAGCACTTTGGGAGGCCGAGACGGGCGGATCACGAGGTCAGGAGATTGAGACCATCCTGGTTAACATGGTGAAACCCCGGGCCGGGCGCGGTGGCTCAAGCCTGTAATCCCAGCACTTTGGGAGGCCGAGACGGGCGGATCACAAGGTCAGGAGTTCGAGACCATCCTGGCTAACACGGTGAAACCCCGTCTCTACTAAAAAATACAAAAAAAACTAGCCGGGCGAGGTGGCGGGCGCCTGTAGTCCCGGCTACTCGGGAGGCTGAGGCAGGAGAATGGCGTGAACCCGGGAGGCGGAGCTTGCAGTGAGCTGAGATCCGGCCACTGCACTCCAGCCTGGGTGACAGAGCGAGACTCCGTCTCAAAATAAATAAATAAATAAATAAATAAATAAATAAATAAATACAGTAGATATGGTATAAAGTACTAAAAAGCAGGGCTTTCAAAGTACTAAAAGCAGGGCTGAGTATGGTGGCTCACCCTTGTAATCCCAGCTCTTTGGCAGGCTGAGGCGGATGATTGCCTGAGGTCGGGAGTTCGAGACCAGCCTGGTCAACATGGTGAAACCTGGTCTCTACTAAAATTATAAAAATTAGCTGGGAGTGGTGGCACGTGCCTGTAATCCCAGCTACCCAGCTACCTGGGAGGCTGAGGCAGGAGAATCGCTTGAACCTGGGAAGTGGAGGTTGCAGTAAGCCAAGACAGAGCCAATGCACTCCAGCCTGGGTGAGAGAGTGAAACTCTGTCTAAAAAAAAAAAAAAAAAAAAAAAGAACTAAAAGCAAATATACCAAAATGTATTAATACTTCAGTGGTTTCCCATGGATGGTGGTAACATATAGGGAGAAAATAGGACATAAACTACTACCATCTTCTCTTTCTTCTTCTATGTTTTCAGTTTTTCCACCAAAGGCATACATGCATCATATCCATTCATTCACTTATTATTTTATAATTAAAAACACACACACACACACACACACACACGAGGCCAGGCATGGTAGCTCACTCCTGTAATCCCAGCACTTTGGGGGGCCAAGGTGGGCGGATCACCTGAGGTCAGGAGTTTGAGACCAGCTTGACCAACATAGCGAAACCTCCCCCCTCCACTAAATATACAAAAATAAGCCCGGCATGATGGCGCATGCCTGTAATCCCTGCTACTTGGGGGCTGAGGCACAAGAATCACTTAAACCCGAGAGGCAGAGGTTGCAGTGAGCCAACACTGCACAACTGCAATCCAGCCTGGGCGACACTGTGAGACTCTGTCTGACAATAAATAATAAGAAACAAAGAAAAAAAAAAGAAAGGCAAAGATTGAACCAGTCTACCCTGTAAAAATGTGATTCTTTGCTGGTACCTTTATCTTTCTTGAAATCCAGTGCATCTTGTTTATCTGTGACAATTTCCTTCATGTTAACAACACTTCGGTGGATTAACTGACGAAGAATTTTGATTTCACGAATGGCTGTGATTGGGAAGCCCTCTTTCTCATTGTCTAGTCTCACCTTCTTCAGAGCCACTAGTTCTCCTGCCGAAACAAATGTAAACTGTTATTACCAATGAGCATTTTTGGCCACTATTGTGAACCAGCAATATATGCTCTTACTCCAGAAGACAAACTTAGTGCTTACTTTAATGCTTACACACGAGATGCTTATACACCTTTAAAAAGTAAACTCTAGGCTGGGTGCAGTGGCTCACACCTGTAATCCCAGCAGGTGGGCGGATCACCTGAGGTCAAGAATTCGAGACCAGTCTAGCCAACGTGGTGAAATCCCGTCTCTACTAAAATACAAAAATTAGCCAGGCATGGTGGTGGATGCCTGTAATCCCAGGTACTCGGGAGGCTGAGACAGGAGAATCGCTTGAACGCAGGAGGCAGAGGTTGCAGTGAGCAGAGGTTGCAGTGAGCTGAGATCGCATCATTGCACTCTACCCTGGGTGACAGGATGACTCCTTCTCAATAAAAAAACAAAAAAGGAAATTCTATATTCCCTTTCTTGGTTTTAATTTTATCTTAAGATATGGATTTTTTTTTTTTTTTTGGAGACAGTCTTGCTCTGTCACCCAGGCTACAGTGCAGTGGCGTGACCTCCGCTCACTGCAACCTCCGCCTCCTAGGTTCAAGTGATTCTCCTGCCTCCGCCTCCTGAGTAGCTGGGACTACAGGCGTGTGGCACCATGCCCGGCTAATTTTTTCTATTTTTAGTAGACACGGGGGTTTCACCATGTTAGCCAGGATGGTCTCAATCTCCTGACCTTGTGATCTGCCCACCTGGCCTCCCAAAGCGCTGAAATTATAGGCATGAGTCACCGCACCCAGCTGGAGAGTTTTAAAAATTATAATTATAGTATTCTTTTGGAAACCTTTGATCTACTCAACTTTTGGAGACAAAATTAGAACTAAAAATTTGGCCAGGCATGGTGGCTCACGCCTGTAATCCCAGCACTTAGGGAGGATGAGGTGGGTGGATCATTTCAGGTTAGGAGTTTGAGACCAGCCTGGAGTTCAAGCCTGGCCAACATGGTAAAACTCCATCTCTACTAAAAATACAGAAATTAGCTGGGCTTGGTGGCATGTGCCTATAATGTCAGCTACTCAGGAGGCTGACGCAGGGGTATCACTTGAACCCAGGAGGCAGAGCCTCCAGTGAGCAGAGACTGACCCACTGCACTCTAGCCTGGATGACAGTGCAAGACTCCGTATCAAAAAATAAAAATAAAACAAGGCCCATCGCTCACACCTATAATCCCAGCTCACACCTACAATCCCAGCACTTCGGGAGGCCGAGGCAGACAGACTGCTTGAGGTCAGGAGTTCAAGACCAGCCTGGATGACATAGTGAAACCTTGTCTCTACTAAAAACAACAAAAATTAGTCAGGTGTGGTTGCACATGGTCTGTAATCCCAGTTACTCAGGAGGCTGAGGCAGGAGAATGGCGTGAACCCGGGAGGCGGAGCTTGCAGTGAGATCACACCACTGCACTCCAGCCTGGGGGACAGAGCAAGACTCCGCCTCAAAAAAAAAAAAAAAAGAAAAACACGTCAGAATTTACTTTTGCTAAATCCACTTAAGATATTAGGAATGCTAAATTTGTTAACATTCTGACATCTAAAATTTTGTGGCAATATTTACCGGTGTCTTTGTCCTTGGCTTTATATACTTGGCCATAGGTTCCTTCTCCAATAATCCCAATAATGTCAAACTTGTCCACACAGCGTTTCCCCCAGTCGCTTTCTGTTTGTCTTCTTTCTCCATAACGAGGACAACAAATTCTAAAAAGGAAAAACAACAAAACAGTTATTTAAGAAAATGAAGTTGGCCTGGCGTGGAGGCTCACACCTGTAATCCCAGCACTTTGGGAGACTGAGGCAGGCAGATCACGAGGTGAGGAGATCGAGACCACCCTGGCTAACATGGTGAAACCCCGTCTCTACTGAATATACAAAAAATTAGCCGGGCATGGTGGCAGGTGCCTGTAGTCCCAGCTACTCAGGAGGCTGAGGCAGGAGAATTGCTTGAACCCAGGAGGCGGAGGTAACAGTGAGCCAAGGTCATGTCACTGTACTCCAGCCTGGGTGACAGAGCTAGACTCCGACTCAAAAAAAAAGAAAATGAAATCTAGTCAAAGAAAAAGGATTCTTTTATGATGATTTCACTAACTCCTATATCTTTTTTTTTTTTTTTTTGAGATGGAGTCTTGCTCTGTCACGAGCTGAATTTAAAAAGCTTTTATTCTTCCTTAGTACTCTACAGGCAGGCGCCACAACGCCCAGCTAATTTTTGTATTTTCAGTAGAGATGGGGTTTCACCATGTTGGCCAAGATGGTCTCGATCTCTTGACCCTATGATCCGCCCGCCTCGGCCTCCCAAAGTGCTGGGATTACAAGCGTGAGCCACCGCACCCAGCCACTCCTACGGAGTATCTTTTATATATTTTTTACTAAAAAGTCAGAAATTAAACGATATGAAATATATAAAGATGCAGTCGGCCATGGTGGTGGGCACCTGTAGTCCCAGCTACCTGGGAGGCAGAGGCAGAAGAATCGCTTGAACCTGGGAGGTGGAGGTTGCAGCGAGTGGAGTTTGCGCCACTGCACTCCTGGGCAACAGAGATTGTGCCACCGCACTCCTGGGCAATAGCCTGTGCAACAGAGTGAGACTCTGTCTCAAAAATAAATAAATAAATAATAAATAAAAACCTAACATAAAATACATAAACAAGCTGGGCTCGGTGGCTCCTGCCTGTAATCCCAGTACTTTAGCAGACTGAGGCAGGTGGATCACGAGGTCAGAAGTTCAAGACCAGTCTGACCAAGAAGGTGAAACCCGTCTCCACTAAAAATACAAAAATTATCCAGGCGTGGTGGTGTACACCTGTACTCCCAGCTACTCTGAGGCAGGAGAATCGCTTGAATCCAGGAGGCAGAGGATACAGTGAGCAAGATCGCACCACTGCACTCCAGCCTGGGTGACAGAGTGAGACTCTGTCTCAAAAAAAAAAAAAAAAAAAAAAAACACACAGTCTCTCACAGTGTCTAAGGCACAAGACTATAGCTTTAGGAAGACATAAGCTGAAATAACAGATTGCTTACTTTCTCACCTCTCTCAGGTATGGCTTCACCTATAAAATGGGAAATTAATCGCTATATGCTAAGGCTACTATGAAAATATAAGGCCAGACACGGCGGCTCATGCCTATAATCCCAGCACTTTGAGAGGCCAAGGCGGTGGATCACCTGAGGTCAGGAGTTCGAGACCAGTCTGGCCAACATGGTGAAACCCGCAACTCTACTAAAAATACAAAAATTAGCCTGGTGTGGTGGTGTGTGCCCATAATCCCAGCTACTCGGGAGGCTGAGGCAGGAGAATCGCTTGAACCAGGGAGGCGGAGGTTGTGATGAGCAGAGATAGCACCACTGCATTCCAGCCTGGGCAACAAAGAACGCAACTCCATCTCAAAAAAATATATATATAAAACTATGACAATAATACGTGCTTAATAAATAACTATTTTTATTATTAAGAGAGAAATGCTAACAATCAGAAGATTAGACCCAGATTATACTCTATTTATGGCATGACAATTTATATGCTTTCAGAAAAAAAATCCCACATCTATTAATTTTTCATTAATGTGCACATGATTGACACATCCTGAATTTAAAAAGCTTTTATTCTTCCTCAGTACTCTAAATATTATGAATAAAAAAGACATAATGACATAAATGTTCATAGTATATCTGGATTTGGGAATTTTCTGTTGTTCTAAAAACAGAGTTGGGTATCTGAGGGCACAGATGAATGACCTGGGTCTCCAAGGAAGGCTTTTGTCCACTAAAATAAAATAAAAGGTATACTTTGGGACCAAACTTCTATGATCTTACTGGTATAGGTTATAGAAGAAACATGAGAGATTTAGTTCAAAAGGAAGGGAGAAAACTATCATGAAAGATAGATTCCTCCAAAAACTTACTTTGGTCTCTTTTTATATGGTTGCTGAGGTGGTGTGATTGCCTTTGGTTCTGGAGAGTCTGGGGGAGACAGATCTCCACCAGGGAGCTCTGGAGGGAGAGGGAGGTCTGTGAGTAGGTGACGTGTCCTCTGTTCCTTCTCTTTCTTCACAGGTTTTGAAGGAAGAGTTTCTTTTGGACTAAACAATAAAGGGGAAGAGATGACAAAATTACAATTAAAGATATGCAAATAAAAATTTTCAAAGATCATAATGCCTGGTTACTAAAAGATTACATCTCATTTTTAAGGAAAAAGACCTATAACATTAAAAAATATAATTTACCACAACTAAAGATACTTTTTTTTTTTTTTTTTTTTTTGAGACAGAGTATCACTGTCACCCAGGCTGGAATGCAGTGGTGTGATCTTGGCTCACCACAACCTCTGCCTCCCGGGTTCAAGCAATTCTCCTACCTCAGCTTCCCAAGTAGCTGGGATTACAGGCATGTGCCACCATGCCCAACTAATTTTTGTATTTTTAGTAAAGATGGGGTTTCACCACGTTTGCCAGACTGCTCTTGAACTCCTGGTCCCAATTGATCCGCCTGCCTCGGCCTCCCAAAATGCTGGGATTACAGGCGTGGGCCACCGTGCCCAGCTGAGATAAATTTTATAAAAAGAAATCTATAGTATATTAAAGAAACGATCATTTTATTTGTGATATTACTTGCAGTTCTCTTCATCAAACTCTTAATATATCGTTCCTAAGATTTTATTCAGATTTTTATCAAGATGAAATAAAATTCACCTCGGCATGGTGGCTCACCCCTGTGATCCCAGCACTTTGGGAGGCTGAGGCAGGAGGACTGCTTGAGGCCAGGAGTTTGAGACCACCCTGGAAAACACAGTGAGACCCTATCACTACAAAAAATTTAAAAAAAAAAAAAAAATTAGGCTGGCCACGGTGGCTTGCGCCTGCAATCCCAGCACTTTGGGAGGCTGAGGCAGGCAGATCACGAGGTAAAGAGTTCGAGACCAGACTGGCCAACATAAGGAAACCCCATCTCTACTAAAACTACAAAAAATTAGCCGGGTATGGTAGCAAGTGCCTGTAATCCCAGCTACTCAGGAGGCTGAGGCAGGAGAATTGCTTGAATCTGGGAGGCAGAGGTTCCAGTGAGCCAAGATCGTGCCATTGCACTCCAGCCCAGGCGACAGTGCGAAACTCTTGTCTCAAAAAAAAAAAAAAAATTAGAACAGGCACAGTGCTCACGCCTGTAATCCTAGCACTTTGAGAGGCTGAGGCGGGCAGATCACTTGAGGTCAAGAGTTGAAGATCCATCTGCTCAGCCTGGTGAAACCGTCTCTACTAAAAACACAAAAATTGGCCAGGCACAGTGGCTCACGCCTATAATCCTAGCTAGCACTTTGGGAGGCTGAGGTGGGGAGACTGTCTGAACTCAGGAGTTAGAGACCAGCCTGGGCAACACAGTGAAACCCAGTCTCTAATAAAATACAAAATTTAGCCAGGCGTGGCGGTGTGCACCTGTACTCCCAGCTACTCAGGAGGCTGAGGCGGAACTGCTTGAACCCCAGGGGCAGAGGTTGCAGTGAGCTGAGATCACACCACTGCACTCCAGCCGAAGAGACAGAGTGAGACTCCATCTCAAAAAAAAAAAAAAAAAAAAACCAGGTGCGGTGTTGTGTGCCTTGTAATCCCAGCTACTCAAGAGGCTGAGGCAGGAGAATTGCTTAAGCCTAGGAGGGGGAGGATGCAGTGAGCCGAGATTGCATGACTACACTCTGGTCTGGGTGACATCAAGACTCTGTCTCAAAAAGAATTAGCTGGGCATGGTGGTATACGTGTGTGGTTCCAGCTACTTGGGGGCAGATGGTGACGGGCAGTCCCGAGGTGGGAGCATCATTTGAGCCCAGGAAGTCAAAGCTACAGTAAGCCATCACCATGCCATTGCACTCCACCCTGGGCAACAAAGGGAGGCTCTGTCTCAAAATATAAAAAACTTAAAAATAGAAATAAAATGCAGGAAGTAATCATCTTAAATTCACAAAGTATCACTGCAACTCATGGAGTTCATTGAATTTACTCTACATTTTAGCAAAGATTTAAATAACAAACAAGAAGAGCTCAACAATTTAATACTATTCTATTGCTAAAGAGGTACAAAAACCTTGGCAAAAAGAAATAGTATTTTAGAATGCTTTGCCTGTAAGAAATATAATTGTCGAAGATATTTACAAAAAAAAATAGAAATATAGCTAAGCTGTAAGTCAAAATTAATGAAAAATATACTGAATCATTCTGTTCACTTCAAAGCAGACAGCAAGCCTCTCTGATCAGCCAAAATAGATAATCATCAAACTAAATATCTAAGGAGAAAGGGTCCAAGCAACTATTTCAGAATTATTAAGCCACACGGTGGCAGAAGCCTCTCATAATAATCAGCAAATTATAGTAGTCAGTGGGTTTTGTAAAAAGATAGCTTTCCAGGAATAGATCAGAAAAGTCAGTTTTCAATCCTGTTTTTTTTGAGACAGGGACTCACTTTGTTGCCCAGGCTGGAATGCAATGACACAATCATGGCTCACTGCAGCCTCAATTTCCCGTGCTCAAGCAACAGTTCTAGCTTAGCCTCCTAAGAAAATGGGACCACGGCACATACCACCACACCCAGCTGATTTTTAAAATTTTTTGTAGAGACAAGGTCTTGCCATATTGCCCAGGCTAGTCACAAACTCCTGGACCTCCCCAAGTGATCCTCTTGCCTCGCCTCCTACCACGTATGGCCCAGATACAATTTTTTGCCTATCTCAATTTATTAATAAGTGATAGACAAATTTTATGCCAAGGGCCGAATGTGGTGGCTCACGCCCATAATCCCAACACTTCGGGCAGCCAAGGCAGGCCGATCAGTTGAGCCCAGGAGTTCAAGACCAACCTGGCCAACATGGTGAAACCTCGTCTCCATTAAAATACAAAAATTGGGCCGGGCTCGGTGGCTCATGCCTATAATTCCAGCACTTTGGGAGGCCGAGGTGGGTGGATCACGAGGTCAGGAGATTGAGACCACAGTGAAAGCCTCTCTACTAAAAATACAAAAAAATATTAGCTGGGCATGGTGGCAGGCGCCTGTAGTCCCAGCTACTAGGGAGGCTGAGGCAGGAGAACGGCGTGAACTCAGGAGGCGGAGCTTGTAGTGAGCCGAGATGGTGCCACTGCACTCCAGCCGGGGCGACAGAGTGAGACTCCATCTCAAAAACAAACAAACAAACAAATTAGCTGGGCATGGTGGCATGTGCCTGTAGTTCCAGCTATTATGAGACATGAGAATCATTTGAACTGGGGAGGTCAAGGTTGCAGTAATCCGAGATCGTGCCATTGCATTCCAGCCTGGGTGACAGGGCAAGACTCTCTCTCAAAAAAAAAAAAAAATTGTGCCATGCACATCCTCAGAAAAAATAAGACATCTATAGTATAACAGACTAACTCATGTCTACAAATAAAATCAGGCCACATAGGTCTTCTCTATTCCTTCACAGTATCAGACGGTTGAAAAAGATCTGAGAACCTTAACCACAGGGAATCTTCTCTATTTTTATGACAAGTAGTTAGTTATAAAGGAAAACATTGGTGCTTTGCATGAATATTTCTTAGACCACAAAGATCTATCTCTTGCAATGTATCTTTTTAAAGAATACTGTTGCCCCTTGTGTGTGAAATTTTAAATACTTTCCATAAAAGAATGTCATTTAGTCAAAATATAAGAACATAAATCTCAACGGCTATTGATTCCTGCCAATTTTTATCGTTTTAATCCCTTGTAAATCAGACAGAATACAATACAATATAGGTTAGTTTGTACCACATCAACCAGAACTGGGGTAGTCAATGGAGTGTAAAATGATCATCTGAAACTTTCTGTTGATAAAGTTTCAGACAGATAAATATGCAATATTATTATAATGTACACTCAGATTTTTCCATCCTAGGAACAAAGCTCATTACCAGAAAACTCTTTGAGTCACAATGTAATATAGATTTTTTTTTTTTTTTTTTTTTTTTTTTTTGAGACGGAGTCTCCCTCTATTGCCCAGGCTGGAGAACAGTGGTGCAATCTCGGCTCATTGCAACCTCTGCCTCCTGGGTCCAAGAGATTCTCCCACCTCAGCCTCCCAAGTAGCTGGGACTACAGGCGTGTGCCAACACGCCCGGCTAGTTTTTTTGTATTTTTAGTAGAGACTGGGGGGGTTTCACCATATTGGCCAGGTTAGACTCGAACTCCCGACCTCGTGATCCACCCACCTCAGCCTCCCAAAGTGCTGGGATTACAGACAAGAGCCACCGTGCCCGGCCAATACAGAGTTTTTAAATTATTCTAATTTTTAAGATGTTCAGGAAAAAAAAATTGTAATTTCTCAACCACTGTCAGAATATTCTTTACAAATCTCAATTCCTCATTATTCAAAATAGATTTCTTCTTGGTTTGGCTTCACTAGAAGAACAAGAGAAATCAGGCTGAGCAAGGTGACTCATGCCTGTAATCCCATTACTTTGGGAGCCAAGAAAGGAAGATTCCGAGAGCCCAGGAGTTCAAGACCAGCCTGAGCAACACAGTGAGAGCTTATCTCTAAAAAAAATAAAGTTAGCTGGGCCTGATGGCATGCACTTCTGGTCCCAGCTACTGTGGAGGCTGAAGTGGGAGGATCACTTGAGCCAGGGAGGCAGGTCAAGGTTGCAGTGAGCCATGATCGTACCACTGCACTCCAGTCTAAGTGACAGAGCAAGACTCTGTTTCTCTCTCACACACACACACACACAGGCAGGGTGCAGGGGCTCACGCCTGTAGTCCCAGCACTCTGGAAGGTCAAGGCAGGTAGATCACCTGAAGTCAGGAGTTCAAGACCAACATGGTGAAACCGCAGGAGTTCAAGGCCAACATGGTGAAACCGCATCTCTACTAAAAATACACAAATTAGCTGGGCATGGTGCACGCCTGAAATCCCAGCTACTCGGGAGACTGAGGAAGGAGAATTGCTTCAACCCAGGAGGCAGAGGTTGCAGTGAGCCAAGATCACCCCACTGCACTCCAGCCTGGGCGACAGAGCGAGACTCTGTCTCAAAAAAAAAAAAAGAAAAAGAAAAAAAGAAAAATTAAGGTATTTTAATTATCTCATCATCAT